TGCAGTGTGCACCAACCACATGCTCAGTAGGAGGCTGGGGATTAGAGAGACTTTAGTCTTAGGGAGCCAGTCTGTATGGTTGACCTCAGCATGTATACATATCTCAGGGAGTGCAGTTTACATATCTCAGGGAGTGCTAACTGCTATTAAGATAGAGGACATGTTGACACCATTTGTCAACCACATTCATTCCAGATGTGCTAGGTACCCGGGTAGTCATCCATAAGCTCCCTGGCTTGCTTGTTGTAGAACCGAGGGGGCATACAAGCATCTCCGGTCTCTGTCACAGCGGGTAGTTTTGTGCCTGTGGTCCAGGCTTCTGCCAATGTTAGTTCCTGCCTTCCAGCAGGAACTGGGAAAGGGAGTTGTTTTTTTTTTTTTTTTCCCCATGTTTATTAAATTCCAAAGAGATGATTACAAGGTTCTGAGAAAGACATAATTGAGTTCCTGGCAATAAATAGGCAGAAGATTTGTCTATTAGTTACCTTTCTATTGCTGTGATAAAACAGCAGTGGGAAGCAGGTCATCAGGCCCTTGGAGTATGCCTTGCCCCAGATCCCTCCTGTGCCTCTCTTCTCTGTTCTCTGCTTCATGACTTCCCTGATACAAACTTTTCTGCTTTCCTATGCTGCTTCTACCATTATGACTAATATCTCTGAAAATGTGAGCCAAAATAAATAATTCATCTCTTTCTCTCAGGTATTTGGTCATAACTATGCAAGTATTTTAAGAAAACTGTATTGTGGTGTGATATAATATCTTATTATTAATTAATTAAAATTTTTACTATATAATCAAGTTTATTGCTGTTCTGTAATTACCTACTTGAAACAGATATCAGGCAAAATGTACCCAATCCTATTTATTTTTTAAAATCTTATTTTTAAAAATTGAGATTATAATTACAACATTTCTTCCTTCCTACATTTCCTCCCTTCAGGTCTCCCCATATACCCCTCCTTACTCTCATTGAAATTCGTCTCCTCTTTTGTCATTGATTCTTTTTGCATGCATATATGTATGTGTGTGTGTGTGTGTGTGTGTGTGTGTGTGTGTGTGTGTGTGTGTGTGTGTATTCCTAAGTATAACCTGCTCAGTCCATATAATGTTACTCATATGTATGTTTTTAGGGCTGACCATTTGGTACAGACAAGCAATTGCTCTGCTCTTCCCTGGGGAAGACTATTTCTCCCACTCTCCTCACTCCTTAGTTGCCTGGAGTACTTTCTTTAGTATTGAATTGAGAAACAAAAATGAAGCTTTTGGAAAAGTTGGTCAATAAACATCTAAAGAGAACTGGACGAGTGAAATGGTCCTATAGTTTTGTAAGGAGAAAGATTCTGGGAAGATGAGATTTAGATCTGTCTTTTGATTGTGGTGCTTTCAGTGAACAACCATGTGCTCCATCTGCTGTTAACCTGGATGATCTGTTTTCTCCACCATCAATTAAATCTCAGGATGCTAGAAGACACCCAAAACAGGCATTATGGCCTTGGAAGAGTCAGGAAAGTAACGTGGTTGGGGGAAGGCTGCTGCTTGGGTATTTGATAATCAGGCAGATTGACCTAGCTTAGATCCCAGAGCTTACTGACGTTCTGTGACCACAGGTGGGGATTGGATCTGCTTATTGACTGATTTTTTTTTTAATGAGGTAGGGTCTCATGTTGCCCAGCCTAGTCTGGAGCTCACTATGCTGATTATCTTGAACTTCTTAACTTCCTGCCCTCCTTGTCCAAGTATGGGAATTATAGCAGGTGCCACAGTCCTCAGCCCAGATTTCTTATCAGTCTGCAAAGATCAAGGTCAGAAGCAGTTTCAGTGCTAAAAATCAGGTGTCTTAGACATTATGCATACTTAGCCATGAGCTCAGCTTGTAGACAAAGAGCTGCATGGAACAGGATCTTTTGTGGAAAGCTCTGACACTGTGCCCAGCAAGGCAGGGTATCCATAAATGTCAGACCCCTTCCTGCAAGGAAGTGAGTCATGTTTGGAGGTGGCTGTGTTTGCACAGCTCTTCGGCTGTAGTGGGCACAGAGACAGGGACAACTGTGGGGATTCTGAGCTGCTGGCATTTTTATTGTTGCCAGCTGCACGTTAAAACCACTCTACAGCTAGGCTGAAGGCTGCGATTTGAAAGAGATCCATTTACCTTTAAGGCCAGTTGTCCTGAATGTCACTGAAGCAGCATGCAAGCTCTATGGCACTTCTCTGATTATGCAGTGGCTGCAGACAGAGTGCCAACTTTAGACACCGAGCAACACTAGATATAATAGCATGCAACGATGTTGGAATGAGTGTTTTTCCTATGAACTAGTCTATTCCTTCCTCTAAACAATGACACCTAGCACTTTATAAGAGTCAGTTCATCTAACCCTCATAGCACAGCCTGGGGTCTGTGAGAAAGAGTGTCATTAGCATGACATCAGTGAGCCACCGTGCACTAGAATGAGCTGGATAGGAAGAGGACTGGACTTCATACCTCATGAGAAAACTGTGGCTTTCGACTCTCTGGATTCTCTCATTTTGACCTGCACCCATCCCTAGTCATTCTGGATGGACAGATTGAGATCTAGGGAGGGGTATGACCTGCTTAGATGCAGAGATGAGGGGGAACGGGAATAAAACGAGTACTAGACTGATTCAATGCCAAGGACTCTTCATAGCACAGTAGATTATTTTAAAGGAACCAAAGAGTTGCTTTATTCACGTTTACTGTAATACAGTTGTTAATACAGTAAGTATACTTGGTGTGGTGGCTCACTTCTGTGATCTTAGCACTTAGGAGGCTGAGGCAAGAATAATGGTACAAATTAGAGCCTACCCTGTGCTACATAATGAATCTTAGGGCTGTTTTGGATACAGCATAAGAGCCTGTCCTAGTTAAAAAAAAAAAAAAGCCACATCTGGTGGCTCACACTTGTATTTCCAGTTCTCATGAACCAAATGCAGGAGTGTTGTTGTAGGTTTGAGGCCAACTTCATCTATATAGTGCCAGGATAGCCTGGGCTATAGTTCAAGAACTTGTATCAAAATCAAACTAAAACAAAATAAAACACAGAAAGAAAAAAAAGCAAAAGACATGACAAGTAAACTGGATGAAGTGGACACTTCTATTGCCCCAACACTAATGAAGGCTGGAGAATTAGGAGTTCAAGGCTAGCCTCAGCTGCATAGTGAGTTTGAGGTCAGTTTGAGCTTTATGCCATTCTGTCTCAAAGAACAAAACCAAACCAAAATACCAACATGACTGCCCAAACGTGAGCTGAACAAGGATGATACCAACAGACATGCCAAAGTGGATGAGAAAAAGCCCACAAGGCCTCAACCCTATACAAAGAATTGTAGACAACTAAGAAATGCTAGGAGCAGAAGAGGTGGCCTTCCCTAGGGAAGAGCATACCAATTAGTTGTTCAATGCCAAATGGTCAGCCCTGAAAACATATATACAAATAACATATGGACTGAGTAAGTTATATTTAGGGATATTTAGGCATATATATATATATATATATGCATGTAATAACAATTAATGATAAAAGAGGCCATGGATTTGAAGGAGAGCAGGAGAGTATATGGGAGAGTTTGAAGGGGAGGAAAGGAAAGGGAGAAATATTATAATCTCAAAATAGTTTAAAACTGCAGAACCAGGAGAGATGACAGTTAAAATTTTGGAAATTTGGATCATAACTTTTAAGTTGAGTCTATAAAAATACTTCCCATAGGTTGCATGCTATAAGTACTGTGGTGACTGTTGTGATAATAATGGTGATAAGAAGAGGGTAAAGATTGGGTGATGACTGATAGGTACTGGTGCTGGTAACCATAATGATGGTGGTGATGCTAGTGATGAAAAGGGGATGGTGATGATCATGTTGACAGTGGTGCTGATGATGGTAACCATAGTGACAGTGATGGTAGTGATAGTAGTGAGGTGGGGATGGTGATAGAGGTGATGATTAGGATATTGTGATGCTGCTGACCATGGTGGTGGTCCTGACAGTGGTAAGGATGATGGTCAGGTAGTGATGATGATGCAGATGGTCACTAAGTACTCTCCCTGAGCCTATCACTGGCCTATGAACTTCATGGATTTTTAGGTCACTTATAGTTTTCACGGTAGCTCCTTAACAGATGTGTCATCATCACCACTCTCGTATAGACGGAAGGGAGGGATCCAAGCCCTCTTCCCAGTGGCAGGCAGCAAAAGAAAAAGTGAGGATCAAAGCGCCAAATAAGAAAATGATAATTATAACAAATAGTTATAATAGTACCACCCTCTATGTGAAATGCTCCCATGCATCATCTAGCAGTTTAATCTGGGCATTCTCTGAGGGGGTTATCATTAATTATTTTTGTCGTTGCTGGTAATGTGTTAAGAAAAGTACTATGAGTGTTTGAGTGGTTTCTTCAGGTCCCACAGCCAATACTAGGGGCCTACAGAACACGTATGTGGAGAAAGTGACCACAGCATTCAGTGTGCAGCACTCCCTGGTCTCCTGTCTCTACCTCCCTTCTCCCTTTCTCACACACCGGCTCTTCAAGACCCACCGACCGACCCACACTTCTTCCTCTGTCTCACCTTCCTGGAAGACCTCATGCTTTCTCTTTCCCTCAACCTGGGCCTTCCTGTCCACCTCTCACTGTGGTTACAGATACAATCTAGGACCACCATCCACTCTTCTAGTGATATCTGCCATCCATCCCTGTGTTCAGGTTCGGGAGTGATATACCAGACTCAGAGAACTCAATCCTGCCTTCCTCCCAGCCCAGTTTGCTTATGCTTCCCCAAGGGATCGGAAACACAACTAAACAATGTCACCAGCAGTCTTTAAATCGGGGCTTGCATCTGTCTGCTGTTGCCCTGGTTGGTGTGCAGCAATAATCTGCTAAGAATTTGAAGAGTGAGCGAAAGCACCGAGGCGTACTTGTATATTTGCAGGGACGGACGCTCTAGTGAAATGTCTTGTGACCTGACTTGTCCTTTCTGTTTTCTTTCCAAGGGAAACCAAGGAGAGCGTGGCGCAGAGGGTGAGGTGGGACAGAAAGGCGAACAGGTAAAGCCGATTTCCATCATAAAGAAGCTTGCATTGGTTGTGAGAAAAGCCTTGCTCTCAGCTGAGTCCACCCTCTGCTTCTGATGCCATCCTTGCCTCTTCTGTGCCTGCAGAGGAATGATTGAATCTTGATTTCCTGCTTTCCATCTTGAGGTCTCTGCTTACGCTCATCCTGATCCATCTTCCAGTTGTCAGAGGAGCCTTCACCTTTTCATTTCCCTCCCTCCCCATGATTGCTTCTCCCTCACTGGTGTTTTCATTCTTCAGGAAGCACCCCTTTATCCCTCCCTCCATTTCTTGAGCGCTTCTTTTTACACCCGTGGCACTGTTTGAAGTGCTTCACAGCACTCCCTGAGCCAGTCCTTGCCCCTTCCGGCTAGCTGGACCCTTCTGCTAATGCATGGGAGGCTGGCACCAATACTGAAGCGCTCTTCCCCATATGATTCTGAAATACTGCTTCCTCATTGTCCCCCAACCAGTAGCGCTGGCTGATTCCATACAGCCTTGCTTGGGCAGCTTTAGTGATTACTAAGTGACTTGTGCATTGTCTCCTCAGCCATCATTTCCCCTGCCTTCTCTTTCCCAGTCTCCACCAGCCCTCCCCTTTCTGCTTTCACACTGCTCTGCATCTCACTCCAGTGCTCACGGTAACCAATTCCATGTCGGGCCCTGCTCCAGAATCTGAGATACAAAATGAGCAAGGGTGGATCCTGACCTCAGGGCATATTGATGCAGGTGGGTGGAGGGTGAGCTACTGAGCCAGGAATCTTCAAGCAGCCAAAGAAGAGCTGTGCTTAAGGTTTTCTCCCCTGTATCTGGAGAAACAAAAGGTATCTGGGTTATTATACCAAGGACAGCCTGCCAGCAGCAACTACTCTATGCATTGTAATGAGTATTGCTTGTGTTTTCCAATTGCAGGTTTGGAGACGTAGGAGAGAGAAAGATTAAATTCTCATTAAATTCTACATTATATATATATATATATATAAATATATATATATAGAACGGCTCATTCTATAACTCACAGAAAACTCCAGATGTGAAAATAGATTATTTCTGTAATATTGTCATAGTATTGTTGTCATAGCTAAATTACTCCAAGCTTATTCTGTTAAGGAGGTACACACACATACACGCACATGCATACACACACACACACACACACACACACACACACAGAGAGAGAGGGGGGGGAGAAAGCACACACTATAGATATGGAGCTTGGTGGGTAACAGTAAAGTACTTGTCTTAAAAGCGTGAGGGATGAGTTTGATTCCCCAGGGCCCATGTTAAAAACAAACAACAAACAAAAAGCTGTTGTGGTGGCCTGCAGTTGTAATCTCAGCACTGGGATAGTGCAAACACATGATCCATGCATATCCAGATGCATATCTGGAAGGTTGAGAGTATAATACAAATCATTTTTCAGGTTCCATGTAGATATAAGATACAGTCCATTTTGTTTTGATCTGCATCCTCAGCTACTTCCATATGCTTTTTCTCCACCACAGATGATTTTGAAGCAAATTCTCTCTCAAGACCTACTAATTTTTATAAATATTCTAATTAACTCTTTTGAACCTGTGGAGTCACTAAAGGTACATGTACATGATAAAGAGACCCTTTGTTCCCAGAGACTTCAACCAGACTTGTCACTCAGCTTAAGAGGCAGACTCTAGATTGGTTGTTGAAACTACCTTGTTTCAGTTGAAAACTGTTGTTATTTCAAGTTGAAAGCTCTTTTAAGGAGTCACTTTTAAAATAATTTTCTTCTGTGTATTACTAGGGTCACCCTGGAGTTCCAGGCTTCATGGGCCCACCAGGGAATCCTGGGCCACCAGTAAGTAGACTCTCTAATGACCTTTGTCTCTTGGTTTTGGCATTCAAGGCACGTATCCATTCTCTATGGAGATTGTATCACACTGGAACTATCTTATTTGAAGGGATGGGCTTACCCTTAAAGTGTCCAGGAGTAAGAAAGAAGTGAATGGGATGAATATTGAGGGATTTGAGTAGCCTTGAAAGATGGGCTACTCAGGGTGATCTTAGGCCCGAGGGTCCCTGGTAAGGAATGTTGAAGCAAGTATTTCAAGGTAGGCTCTTGAGTAAAGAACTCCTTTACATTGAACTTAAAGATGCCCATGTAAGCCTAGATCCTCTCCAGTTTTCTGGAATCAATAACTAACAATAATAAATTATTGTTCACTATTATTCTTTTTAACCACTTATTGTTATTCTCTGACATTTTTGATAACTGTAAATGTCTACTATTTCTACCATTCAATTTAGTGTGCCATTTAAGCAAAGAATTTCCTTGCTCTTGTAGTAACTGTAGCCATGACATTGACACAGGGCCTTGGCATTTTTCTGCTCCTACAGATTAGTCACGTTGTTTCTCTGCTTGGAGCCAACTGCAATTGCAGCTCTTAGATTCATGGAAGGTAGCCATGACAACCAGCAGTGGCAATTACTGTCCATGCTGGGCCCACGACCCCAGAGATTTTCATGGATTCTTTATGAAACTGTCTCTCAGACTTTGCAAACACGGCCACTCCAGATGACTCAAAAGCCTACTGAAAAGGAACCTGGGCCTAACAGAAACCAGGATTTTAAAGTAAATTTTGTAAAAGGGAGTCAGTTTGGATTATGAAGTTAAAAGTTTCGAAATTAAGCCTGATCTTTTTGTTGTTTTCTTTGCTTTTTATAGACTGTGTGGGTGCATGTGTGTGTTTGTGTATGTGTATGCATGTGTACATATATGTGCAAGGAGATGCCTGCAGAGTCCAGGAAGGGGGCATCAGAGCTCTTCAAACTGGAGTGACAGATAATTATAAGATGCTATGTGGATGCTATAAACCAAATCCATGTCCTCTTCAAGAGCAGAAAATGTTCTTAACAATTAGACCATCTCTTTTGTCCCTGCTTTGTCTTTTTAAATAGCAACTCACTGACTTCTAGTTGTGTTAATTGATTAAAAAATCAAATTTAAAAAAGTATTTGTTGAATGAAATCATGTAAGAGCATGAAACAGCAATTGGCCTTTTATAGTAAACCTTTACATCAAGTTCACAATAAAATCAGTCATTTCAAAGAATGAAAAATTCACTTTAAATCTCTGATATCATCTCCCCACTCCTAATATCTCTGATGTCAACAGCTTTTTTAATTCCCCAGCCTCAATTCCTACCTGATCTTGTTCTGCTATTGCTTTTGTGGAGGAAATCATAAGAGACTGATTCATTTGTTGTCATTGAACTGCATAGAACTTTAAAATTCTTTCAAGGTTTGTAATTTTCCTTAGTAAATCATGTTGCATTGTATTTGCATACTGTCCCAGTAAGCTTGTGTTGCTGTGATAAAATACCATGACCAGAAGCAACATGGAGATTAAAGAATGTATTTGGCTAGCACAACCCAGGTCACATTCCATCACTGAGGGCAGGAACTCAAGGCAGGAACTGAAGCAGAGACCATGGAAGAACACGGCTTACTGGCTTACTCTCTAAAACTTACTTAAGCTGCCTCCTTATAGCACCTAGGACCACCTTCCCAGGGGTAGTACTGCCGTAAGTGGGCTGGGCCCTCTAATATCAATCATTAGTCAAGAAAATGTTCCATAGATATGCACCGAGTCCCATCTGATGGAGACATTTTTTCAGTTGAGGTTCCTCTTTTTCCCCAGAAAACTTTAGCTGTGCCAAGTTGACAAGAAAAGAAGGAAGAAAGAAAGAAAGAGAGAGAGAGAGAGAGAGACAGACAGACAGACAGACAGACAGACAGACAGAGACACACACACACACACACACACACAAACCACAACACAACCAGCACACCTATTTTATTGTTAGATCCAGAAATCAGGCAGATGAAATCCTGGCAAAGGTGGGACTCCAGTGGATATCAAGGAATGCCATTGGCATTAATCAAAAAAAAATCATATGAGAGACAAGTGGCTTTATTAAAAAATCAGTTCATTGGTGAATAATTTCTTGCCATAGTAGCTTTAACCTCCAAGTGCACCCCATCAGCTGAGAATCACAGAGGATGGACCCACCCTTAAACCTTCTTTCCTTCATCCTGAGAGTTCCAAAATGGGTACATGGCTCTAGTACCTTCCCACCAGAAATGGCTATAACTTAGAGCTCCTTGATAGTCGCAGGTCCTCGTTTTGAATGCTCATGCAAAAGGATGAGTCTGAGACACAGAGGCAGGTCACAGTCAGAAGCCAGTGGGTCTGTTTCCAATGGAGGAATGCTTTCAGCTTATGTAAATGCTTACTGAGCATCTGTTTTATGCCATGCTTTGTGCTGCTGTGCTGGAGCTTAGGTGATGAGTCAGCCCATAGGCTCAGTGGCTGGTCCCACAGAAGCAACTCCAGAGTGGAGAAGCAAGCAGCTTGGCCATTTATGCAGAAGTGCTTACTGTTTGGCAGGTCCTGTCCAGGGTATCCCATGGTCTAGGCTCCAAGCCCTCAGAGCTCTTCAGCATTTATTTTCTGCTCTCAGCCAGTGTGCCTCCACCGGATAAAACTTTTACCACTTTCCTGCTATGCTTTTGATTCCAACATTACAAAGTCCAGGGTGCAGGGAAAGAAACTTTTGCTAAATTTTTGTAGAAAAACAAAACAGATTCGAGATAGAAACTGCACTTAGCTTTGGACTAAATGTGTAATTTTACCAAGAACTTCATGGCACTTGTTTAACTATTACCGGTGTTTTTATAGTTCATGAACGTTATTTGGTTTTTTATCTAGCCTAAGAGATCTAGGCATATCAAACAGCATTCTGCCCTAAGAACTTGCAATCCATAGAAAAACAGTCATATTTACAGCATCAAGTTTCATTGAAGTACAAGGCTATAATATGGTTATTTCTCTGTTCCTATATCATGGCTAGCACCTAAGGGGGGGGGGAAAAACCACCACCAACACTACATTGGTACATATAAATCAATCAAAAGCCTCTGAATGGTTATCAATAAAGTTCTGTGAGAAACTTGTTTGTGCATGCTTCCATGGTTAGTCCATAACTGCTGTGGCTCTGGTCCTTGGGTGGAAGATTGACTTTTGGTATTAAATGGATGGCCCTTTGTGCAGAGAGAGTCCTTGGGATGTTTTTGGTGATGGCTACTTCTTTATACGTGTTGTCCTTTTCAGCCCATTCAACAACCCACATGTGGTGGTTGCTCTCTTTTTCTGCATTTCACATTTCTGCATTTCTGGGACGTGGAGGGGTAACGTAACCTGCACTGGGTTGCAGAGCTACTCTGTGGAGAGGCAGGATGCACACCCAGAATTCTGAGTCTGAGGTTCTGTCTGAGCCAGTCCCCCTGTCCTGTACCCAGCACTTCTTCCAACTCATCTCAAACGTTCCCCATCTCCTTAGGATGGAGGCAGTTTCCATACATTCAGAGGGCAGAAATTGAGCTTGGATCACATGCAGCTTATGAATGCTAGCAAGAGGCAAATGCCTAAATTCACCTAAAGAATTGCTCCCTTCATCCCCTAGCTCATTCTGCCCCCTACTCCCATCTGATTATTCAAAAATATTGACTAAGTATCCAGTATACTCCAGGAGCTTCTTAAGTTCCCAGGAAGAGAAGAAATCATGGAAGTTGTGATGTCGGAGGGGTTGGAAAAGAGGAATATAGGCAATAAATGAATGAAGCCATTGAACACTGGTGTATCAGACCTTGACACGTGCTACAGCAAAAAATAGCTACAAAGCGGGGAAAGACATTACCATGGTTTGTAAAGGGCCAGTGCTTGAACTTTTCAATCTTGCAGATATCGAGTATCTCTCTTAGAAACTGATGCTTGAGGTGAACCTGTGGACATGGGGACAAGGCTGTAGGCAGAACAACAGCCCCAAAAGCAGTGCCTGGGGCTCACCCTGCACTGCCTACTCACTTCTCCGGAACTCTTCTACCACCTTTTTTGCAAGTGTGAAGATTTTCTGTTGTCTTAGGGATGACTGGTTAATCAATGCTTCACCCCTTCCTGGACTGTGGTTACTCCTCCAGCCTCATTCCAGCTGCTCTGAAACTGGTCTTCTGCCTTGTCTTTGTAGGGAGCAGATGGAAATGCAGGCCCTGCAGGACCACCAGGACTTCAAGGGCCCCCGGTAAGTTCTGTGGGAGACAGAATCATCCTTACGCTGACTGTTAGGACTTTTTAGAGCCTCGTGTTTGCCAGCTCTGCTCCTGTCCTCTCATATTGTGAGCCCCCCCCCCATATTCCTGAGGCTCTGTTCACTGCCATGTTTTCTTGTAGGGAAAATGCAGGGCAAATTGCCTTCTGCTAGGTGTCGCATTACTTTACCGTTAAAATGAAGGTTTTGATGGAGTGGTCTGGTGACCTGTGATTCCCCAGTGAAAACAAGCTCTAAATGTCCATTCCATCTCTCCTTGTCAGCATAGTGTCTGAGTGTGGTTCTGAGTAACCGCAGGTGATGGAGACGCCCACCCCGGGCTGTGGTATGCTCAGCTGTGTTTCAGGCTGGCGACAGCTCTGTTATCACCACTGTTCCAGAGGAAGGTGCAAGTCGGAAAGGACGGTCATTGCTCAGGATCCCCAAATCACAGCTGGTGTTGTTTGCAGTTGAACTCAATGCTCTTTAATCTCAAAAACCTAGAATTTTTTTCTTTTCATCAAGCTGCTAGAACCACATCTGGATTCAGTGCCATAAAGCAAAAACTGAAATACAACTTTGGGGGTGCATCATGCTGGTTGAATACATGCATAACGTTTAAAGATATACAATCCAGTATATCAGTACCCCTTATCCCTTCTGGCTTCTCTCCAGCCATGTCAGCCTTGTAATTTAGAGAAGCCTAGAATTGTCATGCCCATTTTATGAATAAGGAAAGTGAGACTGGAGAAGCAGTCGGCCTTTAACAGAAGAGTCAGAGCCAACAGCTGGTTGCAGGAAGCCCGGCAGCATTGTCACAAAGCATGAGGCTGGGCTCCTGCTCTTGTGTCTCTGGCAAGCTTCTGTGCAGAAGGACCCTGAGGGTGCAGTTAGCAACAGCACATCATTCTTTGCCAGCATGGAAAAGTGGTGCCCAGTAGACAAAGGCACACAGGAAATTAATGTTCAGCTTGGGACTTAAGTCAATTTGAAGACATCACTTTGGTGTTCTTTCGACTGTTTCACCCCAGCTCACCATGGAGCGCTGAGATTGAATAGCTGGCAGTCCCACAGCCCTTTGTAGGATCATCCCGCGGTCAATCCGTTTGAAGCAACCCATGCATAAATCCCAGGGTAGAAAGTACCGCAGGCAGCTTTTTATTGATTCTCAGACCATAAAAGATTTTCCCAATAAAACTAATGGACTGTTTGCCTGAGGAGAATAAGATACTGAGCCCAGTTGTAAAATCATTACATTGCTACGAATTAAACTCTATTAAATAAAACTTTGATTCTGTCATGGGACCCCTTGGTAAGCTATGGGAGCAGTTGGAGCTGCCCATAGTCCTGATAGATTACTATAAATATTAAATTCAGGTATGGGTAAAGTTTTCTTAGGTGAAATGATATTGGCTGGGTAATATGGATACACACAGTTCATGAAATCCTGAGTATTCTCACTGTTTTGAATTAAAACATATGAACCATTCACCATTATTTTGATATGACATGAAGGGCCACAGTATGACATTGAGTCCCCAGATGGCACCTCTTACAATTACTCTTGTAGAATACAATGTCTAAATAGCCACTCCTTGGTACTAAAAGTGGTTTGAAGACATATCTCCTCTGAAGCAACATGAATGGAGAATTTTAGATTGTTGGAGTTTTTGTTGATCTTTTATAGCTGCTGTATAGCTATCTATTTACACAGCAAGGAGCTCGAATTTTCAAAGCTGAGTTAATTTGAAAAAAAATCATTATTTTCTATTTTCTGCCTGGTTTCAATTAGTTGCTTAATAAATATTTAAATGTGTTAATTCCACAGCAAGTGATTGGTACAAGCAAAGTTAAAGGGGAAAGTCCCATGTCACCTTGTGAGCATTCAGCTCTAAAGAGAGATTGGGGAGATGCTGTGTGCAGACTGGGCCAGGGTGTTCTGGAAGATTGGCAGAGCTGGCTCTGTGTGCTGGAATTTGTCGCTGGAAGCTAGTTAGAGAGTGTCTGTCTCCTGCTCTCGGTCAAGTGAACTGCTTTGTAAATATTAGAGAAGTGTTTATGATGGCTGGGATGTCAAGAGGCAGAGTCCTCTCCTGAACTTGCCGCCCTCACCTGAGAATCAAGTGAATGGTTTAGCTCAAGGCTTAGCTTTATCTATGAAGAAACAAATAGGAGACTTTTCATACTTGTGACACACAATTCTCTGTTGTAACTACTGAACTGAGCTTCAGTAAGGCAGCATGAGCCATAGACAATACATATACTGATAGGGTATGAATTTCTGCTAATAAAAGTTTATTTACAAGAACAGACAGAGGACTGGAAATTGTTGACCCTGTTCTGGAATCACTGTTTTTCCATTTGAAGGTTCTTGGAACAAGGAGCATCTAGAGAGGTATCCAGAATGTTTTATTATCAGTATTTAAAATTCCCCAGTGTTAATTGAATATTTGATAGTATATATTTATACTATTTGCATATGTGATGGTAGATTCTGTAATGGAGGAGAGATGCTGTGTTTCACTGGATCAGTTATTCGGCATAGATCTGAGTGGCAGTGTGCTCAGATTGTCCTAAATGTCTTGCAGCAAATTGAAATCAACCCAAAGGCATATCACCTTCTCTATATTATTTTAGTAACTTTTTTCCATGCATATGAAAAAATGTGAATACGTTGCAGACGCTTTTAACAATGATAAAAATAAAGCATGATCCTTTCTGCACCAAACTCAAGTATCTGTACAACAATCTTTCTGTGTTGTAAACATGTGTTGCTATCTTCTTCATGGTTTAGATTTAACTAAAACATAGTCATGCAGTTTACATACAGTACAAATAGTGCTTCATAAAGGAACTGTGTTTTGGTCCACTGATGGGGCCATTTTAAAAAATCTATATAAATGTAGAATAAATACACACTTTTGCTTGTTTTCACTCATATTTTGATGGTAAAATCATAACCCATTAGAACAGAGGTTCTCAACTTGTGGGTCATAATCCTTTGGGGGTTGAATGTCCCTTTCATAAGAGTTGCCTAAGACCATCAGAAAGCAAAGATATTTACATTGTTATTCATAACAGTAGCAAAATTGCAGTTGGGAAGTAGCAAAAATAATAATTTCATGGTTGGGGGTCACCACAGCATGAGGAACTGCATTAAAGAGTCACAGCATTAGGAAGGTTGAGAACCACTGCTTTAGACTATCCCATTTTATGTGATTAGAGGCATCAGAATCTTGTCTTGCAAAGGCACTGGCAGAGATTGGAAAGTTGTCAAGAGCTCCACATACTCATGGCAGAGACATGGGATGATAGGAAGCTGAGCAGTGAGATTAGAACAGAGGTTGAAGCCCTGGTGGCAGCTATGGGCCTTCATGAATAAAATGGGAAACAAAATACCAATTGATGCAATTTGGCAATACAGACATTCAAAATACCACACGTTTTTCATGGAGGGAATAATGACTTGTAGCTATTTCTGGTTAAAGGTTTGAGAATCTCTGGGAAAAATAAACAATGAAAATGAGACCATAGATCACACAGGCCTCCTGACCAGCCTTTCACTTGTGCTGGGCTCTGTAGGTGCAGAACATAGTCCTCGGTGGTTCTGTGGGAATGAACAAAGGCTGAGTTGAATCTGGACCCAAGTCTTATGAACGCCAATGCCCCAAATCTTCCACAGTCTTCTGATGTTGGATTCCCCAAGTCTCTGTAATGTAGAGTGGGTCTCTCTGTGCCAGCACTGTGTGAACATGCTTTGTTGACGCTATCACAACTCTTGCTAGGGGCATAGCCTGTGAAGTAAGGAGGCTGCAGTTACACCCTAGCTTTTAACCAACTCCTCCTAGCTCACAGGACAGCCCCCTGGGAGATTTCTTTCTAGAGCAGTTGACTAAAGATTTCATGATGTTCTTATGTCTTGGCTCTTTCAGGGCAAAGAAGGCCCTCCTGGTCCCCAGGGCCCATCAGGCATTCCAGGACTCCAAGTAAGTATCATTTCGAAGGGTCTGGTTTCTCATCAGAAAAGTTAGCAAGCAGAAATGTATCCCTGCCAGATGTGGTGATGCACCTATATTCCCAGCACTAAGGAGGTGAGGCAGGGTTTAAGGCTAGCCTGAGGTACAGGAAATGCTCTCCATCATGCATTCTTTTATTCCAGCCTCACTGATATTCTTTTGTCTCCTAGGACACAATATGGTCTCCCCTGCCCCAATTAATCCTCTCCCAACCTCAGGAATTTTGCATGTGTATTTTTGTCTGCCCAGAATGACCCCTGATTACCTCTCTTTATTAGTTGATGCTCCTCAACTCTTGGGTACTGGGAATGGATTCTAGGGTTTCATATACACTAAGCAAATACTCTACCACTGAGTCATATCCTATACCCTAATTCAGTTTATCTCCTGATCTGTTTTCCTCCTCTTTGGATTTATTGTATATATATGTATATTATGAAATCATGCATGTGTGTGCAAGTACACACACAGACACATTTATGTTGTTACTATTTACTGATTCTGATCAGACCTAGTATGTTAAACAGGCTAGGCAGTTGTAGCCCTCCTTGATTGAAGCCTTTGTTCTTAATCCCAATCCCAGCCCAGGCATCCATTCCTGTTTCCTTCTCAGTCGGGGTCAACTCCTAGTCTCTAGTCTCTTTTTCCTTTATTTCTGAATCTCCACTCTGGCTCTGGTCATATTCCCTCTTTTATTAATATTCTGTATCTCTAGTTAGGAAGTTCCTATATACTAGAGTGGGGGACAAAATAAGGAAGCATAATTGAGAATTATATTATGGGTTTCAGCTCCTCTAATGAAGCCATCTATTTGTGTTCAGTCTTGGGTCTCCACACAATGAAGAGTAACAAAAGAAATGTGGGAGTAGGTAAATAGCTCTCTGAGGTCCCTTCCTACCCACCTGTCTAACAGTCATGACCACCATGGAAAAGATCTCTCCTAGGCAGCTATCATGTAAACCATTGTAACCCTAGAAGTTAAGGAACCTGTTGAGGCTCTCAAATTGTAGTGATTTGATTCTATCAGGCAAAGCCAAGTAAAGAAAATCTCCAGTTTGGGCTTTGCACCCACCCCTTATCCTTAGTATGAGATGAGACTAGAGGCAGGAAGCCATAGATAGAATCGTGGTGTCTTCTTCAATCTGTCCAGTCCTCTGCCTCACTCTTCTCCTTTCTGGCCTTTAACACAGAGGAAAGTAAAGGTCTTACTTTCCTTGTGTTCTCTACTTATTCTCCCATCTCTCTCTTCCCTTTCAATGTAGCCCTATCATACCACTGTCTTTCTAGTGCCTGCCGTCACTATTATACCAAGACTGGCTTCTTTCTGTGCATGGCTGTGGGCCATCTTCCCTGTGGCTTTTGTATAAAGGGCAGAATAAGGTTATGGTTTCTCCTTAGCTCACGTTACCCAGCTGCCTTTCCTCTCCAGCTTATTCTTATCCGTTTCTCTTAGTTTCCTCCCTAGTTTCACAATCATTCCGGCTCCTTTTCCTTCCTCTGTCAAGTAGTACCTACCAGACACCCACCTTTGCCTTGTACCCGGACAGCGAGAACCACTATGATTTCCAGGTGCGTCACATTCCCCATAGTTTGCTGTGTACATAGTACCTTTCACACACGAGTGTATCCCACTTATTACTAAACCACACTGTTAGACATGTATTCCTGAGACATGCCTGTGACCTCCCAGCAGGGTTAGGTATGGACTTGAACTAGACTTAAAACCAGAAGCTGGAGAGCTGGCTTAACTCTGAAGAGTGCTTGCTGTCCTCCTAGAGAACATGAGTTCAGTTGCCAACACCCACACTGGGAAGTTCACAATCACCTGTAGTTCTTGGGGAGTCAATGCCTTTTTTTGGCCTGTGTGGTCGTGCATACACATGGGGTAAGCACACATACATTAATAAAAATGAAATTAAAATTAAAAAATGAAACCCAAACTTAATACCAACTTTTGAAAGCCCTATCACAAAATTTAGGACATAGCCTTGAACATCTCTTCCTTCTCTGTCCCAAGTAAGTACTTTCTCACTCTGGTCTAAATGGTGGGACAAGCCAAATGAGTGATACATGAGTGACAGCAAGCCCCTGAACTGTGCATGCAAAGTCCCAGTTCCACAAGACTGAAATTTCATGAGAAGACAAATCAAAGAGAGAGAAGCATTGGTACAGAGCAAGATGTACTGAGTTATCTTTGAGACCATAAAGGCTATAGGGATTCAGGGATGGGCACCCAAGCTGGACTGATGAGACTCCTGGAGCTTCCTGAGAAAGGTATAGGAGAGCTTAGTCAAGGTCAAAGTATGTATGCAGAGAAGTTTTGACAGGGGTAAGGAAGAAGATGTGACAGGTAAAAGCAGCTGCAGACAGACATTACTGTATGTATGTATGTATGTATGTATGTATGTATGTATGTATGTAATACCGATGGGCAGAATTTAACCCCTTCTGCTTCTGTTGGTTGCCTTGAGGGATGCAAGAACTAGGAAACTGACTAATATTCAAGGACCAACACCAGAAAGTGAAACAATGAGTCTGTCCATTTATTGAGGGCCATCTCCTTGCCATTCTTGCTGCCTAGAGCTCTCTGCATCTGTCGTATTTTATATAATCTTAACCCTGCAGTACAGACTCAAATGCATGTCTATTAATTTAAAGTGAAGAAGCCAAGGTTGCAAAGGTTAGGAACTGTCCATCCAAGCAACTCCCAAAAGGCAGCTTTCCTGTCTTGGGAAGTCCTGTTTATTTCTCAGATTGCACAAGAGGCCACAGAAGACTCTCAAGTCACTGCATTCAGTCTCAGAGGGTCACACCTGAAGTCCCCAGACATTGCCTTCTCTAGCCCAAGTTTGCTGGTGTCCTTCCTTCCCATGGCCTCTATCAAACTGGCTGTACAGCTCTCTGGACCCTCCTCCCCATGGCCTCTGTGTGGAGGGAGGAACAATTGAACTTTTTAATCTTTGCATATTTTAATTAAAATATTAATTACATCATTTCCCCATCCCTTCTCTCCCTCCTACATGTCTTCCATGAACTCACTTTCAAATTCATGGCCTCTTTTTCTTTAATTATTATATAGCTATATGTATACATATGTATATGATGTTATATATAAATTTATAAATAATTATATATTTACATGTATATGTAAATACAACCTTCTGAGTTCATTTAGTGTTGCTTGGCTTGTATGTATATGATTTCAAGGTCATTTGGTATGGATAGTCAGTTGGGGGCATCACCCCTGGGGAAGACTAATTCTCTCTCTTCCAGCACTCCTGAGTTTCCTGTAGTTCTTTGTCTGGTAGCGGTACCCTGAGATTTCTTCCTTCTACATTAGTATGTATATTGGTGTCACCGACTCTTGTATAGGCTGCTGTATTGTTATGGTATCATTGGTGAAGCTTTCCGGTCATTTCTACCAGATACAATTTCACAGCAGACTTTCTGATTCTCTGTCTGGTATTGTCTTTCTGCTCTTTCTTCCTTGATGTTCCTGGAGCTTTTAACTGCAGAGAAGATGGGTCCATGAGTTGGTTTATTTGAAGTTCACATAATAATGCTGGGAACAGCATCCATAAAATATGACAGGTACCAATGAAGCAAGGAATGGGACAGCAGCCCGGATAGGCAGCACATTCTGATCACTGCTTGCGGCAGCATCCTCCACGCCCAGACACTACAGGCTAAGGGCACTAGTGGACACTTGCCTTGACAGCTGTCTGTAAGTGGCTGCCTCAGTGGACAGTGTTAGTGTTTTGCTGAGCATTGTGAACGGGAGCCTGTGACTCGCCGCAGGGCATATTTACTATGTCTTCTTAGGCTAAAAGCCACCAAGACGCCAAGTTCCTATGCCTCAGGGACGCAAGTAGAGTTTAAACCTCACTTGACTGAATTCTTTTTCTCAGCTTTGCTACTTCCTTTTGAATTCGGATGGCCTGGGATTGCATGCTCTTCTGGCTTTGTCTTCTGAGGGCCTGAATGTGTACTTAGCTATCAAACAAACGTCAAGGTTACAGTATCCTCATCTAGAGCTGAGATCAACTGGGGTACAGGGACTAGAGAGAGACTCATAGCTTAGTTTTGTGGAGAGACATATAAAGCATCGCTGGACTTTCTAGAACCAAGCAGCACCAGCCTTCTTTCCCTGTACCCCATAATGCCTCGGGAGCGTTGAAAGGTGATTTTCTGTGTGTTTTCTTCTTTCTCCCATCACCCATACCCTAGTCAACTTACTCATTAAAGAGGCCCATGGTGAGGAACAAAATGGGGGCTTTTGTAGATAAATAAAAAGATTCACGGTGCAATCGCAAAACGTCTGCTTTTCCATGATGTCAGGTTCTGACTCAGAAATCCTCATCCAGACTCCAGGAGTTGGGGGAGATGCCCATGTACTGCTACCAGAACATCAAACTGCTGCTGCTGCACAGAGAGATGCACATGGTTGCCTTTGTGTCTGCCCTTCCTTCTCTCTAATCTTTCTTGACTCACTAAGCAATTTGAGTTTATCTTGCAGGGAGAAGAAGGCAAACAGGGCAGAGATGGAAAGCCTGGTCCCCCTGGAGAACCGGTAAGGGACTACACTTACCCTCATGTCAAATATAACATGAATCTTAAAAGGTCTTATAATAAAAAAAAAAAAAAACAGAGCCAGATATCAGGGTAAAAGCTGAAAAATCAGAGAAGCAGAACAGGACACAGCCAACCTCACCTCATCAACTCCTCAGCCTCAGAGTGAAAGCCTCTGAATCCTCACCCAAAAGGATCTCAGCTGAACTGCTTTAGTTCCTGTGTCTTTGTACCTTATATACCTTTCTCTGCCCTTCCAGTCACTTCCTGGGATTAAAGGCGTGTGTATTTCCCAGTACTGGGATTAAAGGTGTGTGCCACCACTGCCTGACTCTATTTCCAGTGTGGCCTTGAACTCAGAGATCCAAATGGATCTCTACCTCCAGACTGATAGGATTAAGGGTGTGTGCTACCACTGTCTGGCCTCTATATCTAATCTAGGGACTGGCTCTATCCTCCGATCCCCAGGCAAGTTTATTAGGGTACAAAAATGTATTACCACATTATCAAATCTGTCCATTCTCAACAGCTCTTCTGAGTATTGAAGGGCTCCTATGATACACACACACAGTCATGACCCATATATCACTTCCCTTACTTCTCATAGTCCTGCAAGGAAAACAGCCCTGCTTTGCAAATGAAATAAGAAACTATTTAGGTTGGAAGTTGACCAGCCTAAAGTCATATAATAGTCAGGTGACAGTCCAGAAATTCTGAGTTCAGGTCTCCCATCCTTCCACACTGTACTTTACTGCCCACATAGCCTCAGCCCTGTGGGTATGGAAGGGAATTGGGGGGCAAAGTGAGCTTCACTGACTCCTGGTCTTGAGAGCTGCTTCCCAGCTTCATGTTTTAAATCTGGCTGCAGGTGTTTGTTGTTGCTTTTATTTTTCTAGAGTGACATTCATTAGGAGCCTCCAGTGAGGTGGACAGACACAGTACTCCTAAGGTTATCTTAGCTTAAGGTGGTCTGATAGCTTCATGATTTACCTATGAGCTCAAAGTCTGTTCCTAGGGGTCAGGGACCTCTCTTGCCCAGATTCAGGGTTTTGCAATGATGATGATGATGGCTCCAGAGTTTCTGGCATTACTTTTGTCTTCACAAAATCTAGAGCTGTGGTGTGGCTCAGTGGAGTGTTCTCCTGTCATGCAGGGCCCTGGGTCCACTGCAGCAAAGGGAAGCAATGCACCACAAATCAAAACAATACTCTAGCAAATCACACACATGAGGTGGGGGGGATAAAGAGCTGCAGGGATAGGGAGAGAGAGGCCGGGGATCTCCCCGTGTCTGCCTGCTTACATAACAGGAGTGCATCTCCTAGAACACGGGGCAGCTCTGAGGAGAGTGAAGGTTCCACCCATGAAGGGATTGTTCTGCATGAAGGGAACAGGCAGGTGACTTTATACCCTGTGATATTGTAGTTACTTTGCTTTAAAAAGGTTTTTTTTTTTTAAATTGCATTTGCAATTTTTATACCCCATGAAAATTTAGTTACTTTGCTTTAAAAAGTTTTTTTTTTTTTTTTAAAAAAAAATGCATTTGCTTGTTGATTTGTGTATGTCTGTGAAGTAGACAGGCAAAGGTCAGAAGTCAGCTTGCAGAAATCAGTTCTCTCCTTCTGTCACATGGGTCCTGGAGATCTAACTTAGGTTGTCAGGCTTAGTGGCAAGTACCTTTACCTGCCAGACATCTCACTGGGCTGATTTCTGTCTTTGAAATAAATCCGTCAGTTTAATGAATGAATGAATGTTTCTCTCCTGCGTTTGTTTATGTGTACTGTGACTGTGCAGTGCCAGAGCATGGGGCATAAAAGGGCATCAGATCCCCAGGAACTAGAGTCGTAGGCAATTGTGAGCCACCTGATGTGGGTGGTGATAACAAAACTCTGATCTTTCAGAAGAACAGCAAGGACTCTTAGCAGCTAAGCCATCTCTCCAGTCCCTCTTCCAATATTTTAAAGCAATCTCTATGTACTACTTATTGGTAGAACTAAATTTAATAGAAGAAATGCAATTCTTTTTATGCCCTGCCCCAGCAATAACAATAGCCACAAGGTGGTGTTGGAGGCTGGTGTCCCTTCTCATAAGCTGTGTGACCTTGACTGAGTCAAATAACCTCCCTGAGCTTCAGTCTTCTTCAATTAGATGGAGGGTAATGTACTAACTTGCTAGAATTTGGAGAGCAAATGAGGTGAGGAATGCACAGCACACCAGGTTTATCTAACTCTTAATTATTTTACTGAGGTCCTCTTTGCAACTGCCCTACTTTAACTGCTGGTGAGGTCAGAACTGTGGAGCCTTTACAGCCACTAAATGGGATTACATAAAAGTTTTTCTAGCAGGGTTCATGGTCTGTTTAATTTGCTCGGCCGTAAACTATTATGACTCATTCCGAATCTTACACAGTTTGCCCGAAGCACCTTCTTCATCACTTTAGACTGTTTACCGGTTGCAACAGCCCAAGCTCACTGCTGAGGGGAAAAGAAAGAGCCTTGCCAGGGAGAACAACGTGGGATGCTCTGTGGAGTTACCCAAAGAGGCAAATGGTAGACAGAGGGTGGAGGGATTGGAAGGGGGTGCATGAGGGACAGAGAGGCATTCTTGGGGATACCCTGGACTGGGAGCAGTCAGCCCTTCACTCCATTTCTACCTCAGAAAAGCCCAGGGTTATGTATGCTCTTATTGTCCCCAGATGAGGAAACAGGATACACAAAGGCTAAGAGCTGGACCAAGGTTCTCCAGCTGGTGAGTGAAGACTCTGGGAATCGTATCTTTGAGGCTGACCCAGAGCTCAGTGCTCAGATCTCAAGAGTCAGGATCTACCTGTGTGCTGAATGAGTATTGTCCCTAAAAGTTGTCCCTATAGGGCAGGGTCACTAGTCTTCCTTCCATCAGTTTATTGAATGCCTGCTCCAGGGTCTGTCATTGCGATACAAGACCAGTCCTGTTCTAGGCCATCAAGGATCACACAGGAGGTAGCTGGTTCTCATGGACCAGGTCAGACTCAGTGATCCCTCAAAGATAGTGGGACTCTGATAACCTGAGTTGTGTATCCCAGAGTCGTCCTGGCTTGCTGTGGAATTTCACTACAGAGTTATTCTGATAGTTTATTACCCTTAGCTGTGTTAGGAGGAAGTTGGCATTGGATGGGCGGAGTCTAAGATTCCCCTGAGATTTTGAGGTAGAGACTCTGATTCCAGAAGGGTATTCTACAGAGTGGAGCCCCACAGAGTGAGGGAACAAATGGACCATGGGGAGGGGAGGTCATAAAGACAGGCTGTTGAGTGGTACCTCTAGAAACAGCTGGGATCCAGGCTCCCTTGGGTCGCCTGAGAAGCTGTAAGGAGCATACTGAGAACATCTATATTTTCCACTGCAGCAGGTGCCCTTATGTCTGAGACTGGGGTAGGAGGATAGCGAATGGCAATGGTTAGTACATGGCTCTTCTCCACTTTGATCCATTCTCATGTGAGGGGAGTACATGGAGAAACAGACTGATGGACAGATAAGTGGTAGATAATAGCCCAATGGATGAATGAACATTTCAATGTGTAGATAGATAGATAAACAACATTTCAAATTGTTAAGTGTTTTAATAAGATGTAGTTGAGCATCCGTTGTTGTTTAGGATGAAGCACAGAGTTTCAGTTATCCTTCCAATTACAACCCTCACTGTGTGTTCCTCTGCCCCTGTGGCTTTCCTAAGAGGTGTCTTCCATTGGTTCTCAGTGAGGATGCATCATAATTCCAAACACACTTTAATTATGTCTAATGCAGGAATAACTCTCCTTTGATACTGGCTGTTTGTCTGCTAGTAACTGGACCAGTAATGACAATCATCTTGATTATGGGTCAAGGCCAAGACCTACAAGGGAGGACCATCTGAAAGTTAAAAGTGCAGAAACAGATGCCGGGGGAAATGACATCAACACCACACAGATAGACTTGGATAAGTTGGGTCAGAAAGCCACAAGAAAGATAACTTGAAAGCCAACCTTTGCTCCCCAGCTTCTGTTCAAAATTTCCCTCTAAATTTAGGAATGTTCCATACTCTCTCCCTTCTCTTGTAATGTGAACTCGCTTCACATAAGTCCTAAAAATTCACTCTGTGTAAAATGAGGTGCAGAGTATTTAAGGAGGGCCATGTTCTCAAGCTATAATGGAGAGAGATCCAGAACTGGCACAGCTGCCCATCAAACAGCACCCTTTCACCTCTTCCTCAGCATCCTCGCCCCTACCTCTGAGCCATTTGTCTGGACCTCATTTGCCTTTCTTCATGCCTTGGTTCTGTCTAGAATTATACCAGACTGTAGGCAGCAATTTTGTGTAGCAACTGTATCCTCGTATTCCTTTGCATCTGAGAACATAGGGTATGGAAAGGGCTGTGTAAATCAGATCATGGGCCCCTGGTGAGTGGTGCCCCTGGTAGCCTGAGCAGAGCCTCTGCCTGGGTGACAGGAAGCTGAGATGTTCTTTAGCTTTGTCCTTAGAAGTCTGGTAAAATAAAACTGCTCTGGTCTTTAGTGTGGCCATTGGAAAAATGTAGTAGTTCCTAGTGCTCTTGGGAATCAAGTCAATTAATAACTAAGATGGTTTTATAGTTTTTCATCTGGGCAGGGCGCTCGGACAGAGAAGCATCCCTGTGAATGGTTAACTGGGGGATAAGGCTTGAACTATCTTCCCAGCAGAAAAACTGGGAATGCATCAGGCCTGAATGTGCTGTGGAGGCGGGACTGGAGGAAATACATTAGGAGTGCTGGCACCAAGGCTGATAGCCTGCTTGGCCAGTGGCGTGTGGAAATGCAGTGATATGAAGGACAGGCAGCTGAACATCTAAAGATCCTAAAGATGGGAACCTGAGCCTCTTCTTTTCTTCCTCAATTCAGGGCAAGGCAGGAGAGCCAGGCCTAGCAGGAGCAGAGGGAGCCAGAGGTCCACAGGTAAGTGTCGGTCTGGTCTTGTGCTGCTGCCCCCAGGAACGAATGTGTGCAGGCCTTCTGAGTTCCCGAAGTCTGTCTCCTGACATTCTGGCGCTTGTGTGACCATTTCTGCTTTCTCTGCAGGCTGCTTTAGCATCTATCCCCTAGATTGAAAGTCATCTCAGGCTAGTTAGCGTTTTAAAATTGCTTCATTCTTTGCCTCTTTATCCCAACATGAATGTTCTCTACTCTGAAAGAAAAAAAAAAACAGGGTGTTTTGTTTGTTCCTGGCTTTTTGTTTGCTTTGACGTTAGTGGCTTTTTTTTTTTTTTTTTTTTTTTTTTTTTTTTTTTTTAAACGTGTGTTTGAAGACATAGTTTCATGTAATCCAGGCTGGTCTTGAACTCATTATGTCACTGAGGATGACGTTCAAGTTCTGATTTTGCTTCTCCCTTCTGCTTGCTGGGATTATAGGCACACAGCACTATGCTGAGTTTTGCGGTGCTGGGAATGGGGGGCCTAGGGCCTTGGACATGTTTGTTCTTGGTCACCAGAAGAACATCTCCTGCATTTCCTTCAGTGCCCTAACTAACCCTTTTCCAGTTGTGGAAATCCATTCTAAGTCGTGATGGTGACACTAGAAAGAAAGGCAAGCATGTGTAAAGAGGAAAGTGACCCGCTTCTGCTTCTCCAACAGAAGGAAGGACAGTCAACATGCACTGTGTTACCACATTTATTATTTCTTAAATGAATTACAGCCTTTCTATTCATTTAAATGGAAAATAGATTATTTTAATATAGTAAATTCTGATCACTGTTCCCCCTTTCCCAGATCCTCCCAGGTTCCCTCCATCTCTCCATCCACCCAAATCCACACCCCTTTTTTCTCTCTCATTAGAAAACAAAAAAGCAACTAAAAAGCCCCCTCAAAAACAAACCAGAATATGACAAAACAATCAGGAGAGAGAGAGAGAGAGAGAGAGAGAGAGGGAGGGAGGGAGGGAGGAGAGAGAGAGAGAAAATTAAAAACACTTAAAGATGCAGGGACACACACTTGCACACACAGAAATCCCATAAAAACACAAAATCAGAAACTATAAGTAAAAGACCTGTAGGTTAAAAAAAATGCCCAGAAAGCATTATGAGGGAAACACACAGAAATCCCATAAAAACACAAAATCAGAAACTATAAGTAAAAGACCTGTAGGTTAAAAAAAAATGCCCAGAAAGCATTATGAGGGAAAAAAAAAAAAACTCCAAAAAATCATTGATGTTTTGTGTTGGCCATCTACTGCTGGGCATGAGTCTACCCTGAAATGTGGTTTATGCCTACTATGACTCCATTGGAGAAAACTAATCTTTCTTTGCAAGATGTTTTCAGCTGGAGATAGCTTCTGGGTTATAGATGGGAGCTTGTGTCCACTTCCCATATTAGCACTGGTACCCCATGTGGCTTAGGCCCCTGGAGGCCATGTAGATGCTGCCCTGGTGTCCGTGAGTTCATATGTGTGTCAGCCCTGCTGTGTCTAGAAGGCCTTGTTTCCAAGGTGTTCTCCATCCCCTCTGGCTCTTACAATCTTTCCACTGCCTCTTCTGCTAAGTTCCTTGAGCCCAGGTGGGGAAGTATTTCATGGGGACATCCCATTTAGAACTGAATGTTTCAAGGTCTGTCACTGTCTGTGTGTCTCTGTATTTGTTCCCATTTGCTACAGAAGGAAGTTTTTCTGATGGTGGCTGAGCAAGAGTCTGATCTATGAGTGTAGAAGAATGTCATTGGGAATCATTGTATTTATTGCTATGTCCCTTTAGCAGAGCAATAGTATTTGGTTTGCCCCCTGGGCCTGTGGCCTATTTAGTCTCAGGTTCTTGTCCACCTGAGCAGTCACAGGCGTGGGTTTGATCTCATGGAGTGGACCTAACTACAATCAGATAGTCGTTGGTTACTCCCACAACTATTGTTCCACTTTGGCACCAGCATAACATACAGGCTGGACACCACTGTAGATAGAATGCCTTTTCCTCTGGTAGTGTACAGTGCACCTTCCAGTATCATGAACAGTAGGGGTGAAGGCTTGAAGTAGGCACTAACTCATCTTCTCCATGTTGAATGGAGTTGTGTAGGTATGTGTTGTCTAGACCTCTTCAGCAGTAGGTCTTATCAGTTTGTGGAGACAAACCCATAACTTTGGCAATAGCCTGGGTTCTTTGGGGGTGTCCATAAAGTCTCTTTGGCCAAGAATTCAATTAGATGTAACCCATACCTGGCACTGGAAATTTCATTTGGTGGCAAGAGACATCTAATTGGGGCTTTGTCTCCTCCATTATTTGGTAATTCCAATTAAATTTTTTCATATATATATATATATACATATACATATGTATATATATATATACATATATATACATACATATACATATGTATATATATATTTTAAAAAGCATCTACTGGAGTAGGTTTCCATATGACTCTTTTGTCTCTCCCCATATGCTCTTCCTTACCCCCTCCCCTCAATACTTCCACTGTGGTAGCCCCAACCCCACTCCATTAATTCATAACTATGTATTTATTCTATTTTCTGTTTCTCAGGAGATCCTTCCCTCTCCCTAGTCCCTTTCTTTATGCCTAACGTCTATCGTTATATGGATTATAGCTTTATTTAAATCTATATCTAATTATTGCACTAAACACAGGTTATTTTCTGAAATAATAAAAAAATATTTTTAAGATTTTAGTTTTTAAATGCTTTACCTCTTCATGCTGTTGAATTTTTAATGTAATTTTTTAATTTAAAAAAAATGGTGCTTAATGAAAATCCTGAAATCCAATTATCTGTCCAGAGGTAATGGATCAGAACACCGCTTCTGTTTCCTCTGTGTTATTTTTCTTTTGAAAAATCAATAAATCATCTGGCAACTATTCATTAAGGAGGAAACAAAACGTGAAAATCAATGTTCATTTTCCCCAATCCCCCTGCTTCTCCCACATGCAGCAGGAGGAACCCAGGCAGGGGGATGAATGCTTTGGCCTATGCAGACTACAACCATGAATCAGTGGCTGGTTGTTTTTCTCCAAAATATACTTTAAGTTGATGGTCCCATTAAATCCTTTCTTAAAGCTTCTTAAATATGGCAGATGGTTGCATATTGTGGCTCACAGTCTATTCCCTTTAACTAAGTGATTCTGGTGAATAATGGCCCAGTTTTATCAGGTGGCTCCTGGATTCAAGGGATAAGAGGGGCTCCCTGTTAGCTGGAGGGACCCATTTGCTGGGTTCTGACTTAGGAGTTGGATCCATTTCTGCATTTCCGGGATTTCAAGGTAGGGGTGCAGTGTAGAGTCCTAAGCTGATGAAAGGACAGGTTTGTAGCTAGAGTTTTCCTGCCTTGCCCACAGTCAGGACAAATCTCTGTCACCACCAGTCCCACAGCCACTTAGACCCAACCAAATAAACACAGAGACTTATATTGCTTACAAACTGTATGGCCATGGCAGGCTTCTTACTAACTGTTCTTATAGCTTAAATTAATCCATTTCCATAAATCTATACCTTGCCACGTGGCTGTGGCTTACTGGCATCTTCACAGGCTGGTTGTCATGGCAGCGGCTGGCAGTGACTCCTTCTGCCTTCCTGTTCTTTCTTTTCTCCTCTGTTAGTCCCGCCTATACTTCCTGCCTAGCCACTGGCCAATCAGTGTTTTATTTATTGACCAATCAGAGCAATTTGACATACAGACCATCCCACAGCACAGGTTCCTCTGGTTGGCTTTGAGTCTGGATAGAGATATACCTGGGTCCTTTCCTTTGTCATTTATTGATCAAAGAGGGCACTTCTGGACCTGATTGCTCATCTATGTAATGGAGATGATAGTAGTTGCCACACCTTGTGCAGTGGCTACACATGTTAAAGGAGAGAAGAGTACCTATAAAACTCTCAGCCGAGTGCCTGGCAATGTGGGACACCCACCCCTACTTGGGGCTTTTGTCCTGAGTTTATAGCACAAGAGCAAGTTAGAGACCCATCTTTGGACCTAGGTGGCTGTGGGAGTCAGTCATTTAAAGATGGTTCCAGAACCTTGCCAAGTTCTGAATAATCAAAGAGCATTGCTTTTTTCATTCCGGACAGCAGCCCTACAGAAATGTGTAGAAACTGAATCCCAGCAAAGAGAAGTGAAGCACTTCGGTCCCACTTTGGCAGAGGAGAGTAGAGACTTGATTTACCCCCAGTCCATGATCAGCCCTGGTGCATCAGATGCAGGGGCACAGTGGGCATTTGCAGCTGGAAAGAGAGGACTAGGAGTCACAGTATTTCCGTTATCTTGCACATAGTAATATTAGGGGTCCAGGGGCAAATAGCCCTTCTGAGGTATGGCATAAAGTGGTTGAAACTGAATCTAAATATTAGGTGACTCCATCCCCCTCTTAGCCTCCCGTATTTCATCTTTCTCCATCAATGGACCAATGCTCTAACAGCTGACTGTATAGTTGCTAGACAGATTGTCATTGAACCCCAGTTATAAGCCTAGATTTGGATGAAGAAATCATCATATATTTAGACTGGGGCTTCCTGTCTACCGCCCCTACTGGGTTCTAGAGGGACCACATTCTGCTACCTCATTCTACTGTCTCATCCTATAGAGGATAGGAGATTGTATATTCTAGTCAGCCATGGTGGGTGCAAATGCACAGACTGCATTTCTCAGTTGTGACCTTAATACCCTGAAGAGCCTTTTAAGATGGAGTTTTCCCTGGATAGCCTCTGTGGAGGGGCTACCCACCACCCCCACATTTCCCCAGAGTGCTCTTGAGTAGGAACAGCAGGAAATATTAGATAGAAGAATTAGAGAGGGGAGATAAAGATAGAAAATACAGGATAGCCTCAAGAGGGCCTGGAACCTAGTCCATTGGGCCCTGACTGTCTCTGCCCTAGGTTATTTATATTGGAATGCCAAGGGGTGGAGCAAAAGACCTCCCCACCAGCACAGCCAAATGCAGACCATCTCAGACATCTGCACTTAGGCCTGTGGTCCAATCATCCTCTCTATGCAGACCTGCTGGGTAAAGCCACTAGGAACCTGAAAATGGGCTCCCACAGGCCTCACCCTAGGGCTTTCTGGTCCTTTTTTGTGTCTTCATTTGCTTGTGTCATTAGGAGATGAAATCAGAGTGGAGCCTGGTGGATGCAGCCAGGTGGTAATTTGATTCCATGGGCTCTCTGTCCTCCTTGCATTGAGAATGGCCATAGAGAGGTGTCCTCAATATCAGATGGGCCTATGTGTGAATCATGGCACTTCCTCACTACTGAGTGATGCACAGGACTGAGCTTGGGTTTCTTTATAAAATGGGGAAAACAGAACTCATGTTTCAGGACTTCAAGACCATGAAATGAGCATTTTGAATGGTTATATCCCAATGCAAAGTGGGGCCCCATAGAGAAGACCTTCTCTCTTTCCTGTTTCTTGCCTCTCCTCTCTGCTTTTCTTCTACCCACTCATGACACCCTGAAACTGGTGGCAAGTGAGAATTAACAGGGTCAGCCATGACAGGAAGATGGAATGGCATAGGACATCTTTGCAGCTCTCTGCCTTTGTGCTGTCCCAGCCTGTTCCTTGGTGGAGTCATAACTTCCTCATATTTCTTCCAGGGCTTCAAGGGACACACAGGTGATCCTGGCCCACCTGGTCTGAGGGTAAGTAGGTGACTCTGAGATGACACTCACCAGGGAGAAGATTCCAGGGTTTGCAGGACATCACCTTGCTGTTCTACTTAGGAAAGAAGAGTGGGTGGCACCCTCCCATCTTTTGATTTGAATCTTGTAAATGGTTCTTCTGGGCCCACAATGACATACAGCCAAATTAGCCAAAGGAACCTGAACTCGGGTTGCCTGTATTATGTGGGCTGTTCACATGTCCCCTAAGGCCTGGGAAGCAAGCCATGTTATTAGGCTTCGTTGACAGAGGAGCAAACCTCAGGTCAGAGGTCATGGGTAACTTTCCCAGGTCATAGAGAATGTACATTAACACATAGGCCTTATCCAGGTGGGTAACCCCTTCAACCTTTTCTTATTCTTTAACACCTATCTTTTCAAAATGCCCCAAACTGAAGAGACTGTTGGGTCAGTGGTCAGATTCCTTGAGTGTTGTGGATAACCAGGACAGAGATATCCTATAGTGAGAAGCAGGTAACAGGGGGCTCAGATAGGTTCACCTGACCCATCATCTTGTCTTCTTCCCACCTTCCCTGTTGGGAGGCACTTAGGGCTCCACCTACTCTCCTGGGATCCAGTTCTGCTGCAGAGACTGCCATACTCTGTGGGGGACACTTCTGTCTGACATCCCTCTGGGGCTTTGGATCTCTCCCACACCTTGAGATACCATGTGTTTGAGATGGCCTATATCTAAATCAGCCCTGTCCCTGACAGTAATTTTTTGTTCCTAGGGAGAACCTGGGACTATTGGCCCCCCTGGAAGGGAAGGATCACCAGGAAAAGATGTAAGTTGGGATGCCTTGCCCTTCAGTGGTTCAGAGAACAAGGGAGGAGCACCTAGGAACCCTACCACAGTGGCAGGTAGCAGTTCTGTGAAGGACTTGGGTTGACACATAATTGGTTTTCATTTTGCTTCTATCCTTGGGGTCAGGATTTATTTCACAGTTCATGGAGGCTTTTTGGGTTCATCTGACTTGTCTAGTGTCTAATGATGGTCCCACCATATCTATCTTACATGATTTGAGAGGCATTTCATGTTTTCTCCCAAATCGTTTCTCCATCTCTTGATCTTTTTGGTGCTCATAGTAATTCTGAATCCCTCAAACTCCCTACCATCATTTGATATCAACACGTTTGCTATCACCAGCACCACTATTGCCAGCGCTATGGTTACCACCATTATCAACAGCACCACTATTGCCACCACTATGGTTACCACCATTATCAACAGCACCACTGCACCACATCCCCCATCATTACTACCATTACTAAGGAGCACACCAGCAAGCAGGATTCCTTAATGGCCTCTACATCAGAGTTTCTGACTTGACTGCCTAGATGATGTACTGTGATAAGGAAGAGTAAGAGAAACTCTTTCTTTTCTGGGTTGTTCTTGGTCATGGTGTTTCATTGCAGAGCAATGGTAACCCTAACTAAGACAGTTATAAAACCAGTCTGGTAGGTAGAGCCCTTGAGGCTGCCTGAGACACAGTGTAGGCTGGTGGTGCTGTTGGGTGGCAGCTTTCATACTGTGGTGACTCGGGCAGGAATGGTTCTAGGTTATTGTCCAGTGAATTTGTCATTTTGATTTTGCTTGGTTTGAGATCTGACTACCTTAAACTACTGGAGAAACAGGTGAACTATGCCTATGGCGGTAAATAAACATCCTCATTTATAAATGTAAACTGAAAAGCATCTCCTCATCTGGGGGAAACAAACTTGTACATGTCTGAAGTCCTTGGCACTCAAAAGGAAGTGTTTGGACACAGTACTGGCTTCCTGGGTCTGTTGGTAAAATCTGGTCCAAATTAGACCTTTGTCATCTTCTCATGTAGCTTGGTGATTTTATGACCCCTCTCTGTTCCAGGGTGACACTGGACCTGTCGGACCACAGGGTCCCAGAGGACCAAGGGGCCCACCGGTGAGTTCTCTTTTGACATTAACTTGCTGCACAGTTCTGCAAAGCTGTTACCATGGTTATGTTTGGTGTTTCACTCTGGTATGGATACATGTATTGTTTTAAAATGATGCTCTGTGTCCTAGAGGATGCTAAACAGCTGCTGCCCTTTGCCCCAAGTGCCTTCCTATGTGTGCCCTAGGACAACTCACTGACAGTCTACCCACAGAGACTCCAAGAGCTGCCATACTTCCAGTTTGGGGCCATTACATAGTTTTATGTACCACACGAGTTTCCTGTAAGTACCACAACTAGTAGCTTCTATACAGAAACATTTACGTTTGTGTATGGAAACCAGAGGAGGGAAATTAAGGTACCAGCCACGAGGGAAAGCATCCCTGCATCTTCAGCTTCCTAGGGTGTCCAGGGCTATGTGAAGGGACCAACAGGCAGCATTGGAACTCATGGAACATGGCTGGGTGGTTGACAAAGCCACACCTGAGTGAGACTTGGAGGGGCAAAACCCTGAGGACTGTGTGTCCTGAGGATTTCATGCTGTTATTGAGCACAGCTCTGATTGTTGCCTTCATGGACACCACATCCATCATTATCTGTGTGTTGTATGAAAACTTTCAAGGAGTTTCTAACCCCTCACTGGGTAGTATTACTGATACTTAACAATAATAGTGACTGATTTTTTCCATGCATTGCTGTTGGAGCAGATTAATGATTCAACCACCACCCTTAGAATTTAGACATGTAGATTGTTAGCAAGGTTAGGGTAAGATGCTTTTGTTAATGGATTTGAGGTGGAAAATCTTGGGAAACAATTTAAAGTTTATAAAGACACACTTTTAACAGTTGAACAAGGGACTCCTTAAGGTCAGGGAACAGGAACAATGGCAGTCTGGCTTTTGCTGGCTGATGTACCTTTCTTGCTAGGATAGGTTGATGATCAAATTCCTTGTACCCATTTCTACCCTCAGTTTTCATATATATATAATTTTTTTTTCTCTTTGTGGGTGGGTATATACCCTGAGGATTTAAAGTAGAGCTGACAGGTTTTCATATAGAGGTTTAGATATGTGATTCTTTTAAGTTTTTTTTATAAGATTGTCTGTTGAGATAAATAGTAAAATGATTGATCCTTTCTTTGTAACTGCAAAATGCAGCCTACCAGTAAAAGAACTGACTGAGAAAAATACCTTGCTTGCTTACACTTGCTAATCTATAACAAGTTGCTTGGGTATGAGTGTATGTGGGTTCTTGGGGCAACTTGTTTTTCACCTGTAATATGTAAAATACTTAATCATGTAAGGGATATGGAGAACATGCTGGTTCTTTTTTTTACTTGTATTCATTGTAACCATTTACTTGAAAAACGGAATGCAACCACATTGTAATTTTCATACAGGTTCAAAGATTTTTCTGGAGTATAAAGCTGTAAAGGAAAAAATAAAGTTAGTTAGAAGGAAAAAATTAGGAAGAGACAGAGGAAAACATCAAGGGAGAGGAACAGAACAGAAAAGGAATAGTGTGGAACAAGCAAGAGAAAGACTAATAAAGAACTAAGCTTTGACCCTCAGAAACGTCCTTGTGTGTCTGTCTGTCCAGTAGTTCACCTGCTCTGCATCTCCTCTTCAGTTTCTCTGACCTGCTGAAGGCTTTCCATTCATCAGCACCCTAGGTGAGATCCTGACATGTTGGAGGGGAGTGAGTGAGTGTGTGTGTGTGTGTGTGTGTGTGTGTGTGTGTGTGTGTGTGTGTGTGAATGTATGTATCCTAAATTACCCTTACATACAGTCATTGGTCCTATTGAATTAAGGGTCCAACCTATTAATCATAAACTCACTTAACTGATTACATCTTTGATCATTCTATTAACAAATTCAAATTCCAAGGGCTTAGGCATTAGCATTTCAGCACGTGAATTTAACCCATAATATTCCACATTGGTAAATATTTGGGGTTTACCTATTTTCATTCATATACATAGGCAAGTCCATAGAGTATGAGCAAAGGTAGAAAGTAGGTGTCAGGATACCCAGTGTTGTGTAAAGAGAAAAGCCTTGGAAACCCGTAAGAGGCAGATGTGCATGTAATTTAGCATACTATGAACAATAAACTTTGCTTCTAGTAAGTGAGAGTGCACTCTAAAAGATGAAAAGTGTATCATTTGAAATATGTAAACCAGTACCGTGATTTATTGTCATTGGCAAGTATAGTGTTCCATGGATTACTTTAGCCTGTAGCATTTTTATACCTGTTGCTATAGTTTGGTTGCTCAATGCAGTTGCTAATGTCTAAGTGATGTACTGTGCTGTGACAATGGGATGGATATGATGTTACTCAGAAGTGTGAACTTTTTGGCTCTGCTGCATGCTTCTGGGGCCACTGTTGGACACATGGTCTGTCAGTGTTGTGTGTGTGTGTACCTCTCTTGTGCATGATCATATTTGCAGATTGATTTCATTCATGTTGTGGTAATTGTAGATAGGTACATCTACAAATTCTTCACTTTGCTTTCTTTAAAATCTACACTCACATAGGGATGACTACCTCACAGCCACTAGCTTCAAAGAAAGATGAGAGTGTTCACTGTGCAAAGCACAGATATCATTCATTTGGTTTCCTCCTAAGACTTCTGAGTTATGAAACTACATTATGAATCTGCACGTGAAAAGACAAGGAATGAAGATGCAGAGATGCTCATAGTTTGCACAAGATCACACGGCTCATCAGCAATTGATGTCAGCCTTTGGACTCAAACAGTCTGGGCCAAGTGTCTGAAGTTTAAGACCATACCTTAAATGTCTATGGACTAGATTGTCTTGTCAGAAAAATTGTCCTGCATGAAAGGGTTTGAAACAGGAGTCTGGAGACCAGAAGCTTGGGAAGGTGACTACTATGGGCAGCATAGTACCCAGAGGGGCTCCTTGTTGGTGGATGATAGATAGGTATGTAGATAGATAGATAGATAGATAGATAGATAGATAGATAGATAGATAGATAGATAGATAGATAGATAGATCAGGGAGGACCTGGTCCTAACATCAAAAGGCCAAAGTTCACAGGGAATGAAAACAGGTGGCCACCAAAACTAGTGTTGGCACTATGTGCTAATGTCTGGTGGTCCTCCTCCTTCCACAGAGGCAGAGGGAGGACTAGAGCAAGAAGCAGGAGAGATATCATTTCCATAGGGATGAGCCAAAGTACATATTTTTAGAGAGACACAGATGGGTTGGTGGGTGGAGGGAGTATAGGGAGGGGCAGCAGGCAGCACTCACTAGAAGGTCTGAGTGTGCCTGCCAATCAGAAATAATGCTCAGGGCTTCCATTCTGCACTCACTAGCAGAGATCCCAGGCAGAGCTTGGACTTTCTCTGTGTCTTGATTTCCTCATGAAATAAGGTTATCTATGCTGCATGATTTCTGGGTGCATCTGGTGAGATGAGGTGTTTGAATACCCATGGTCTCATGGGCACATTTTAGACAAAAGGCAGAGACTGTTTTTCTGGTTACTGATCTACAAGTACATCTGTAATGAGGGCAGTACAGTACAGAGTACTGATTATGCTCAGAACTCAGCTTTTCCACTTCTCTCTCAGATATGTGGCCTAGCATTTCTGTGCCTCAGTTTCTGCACATGTAAAATGGTAATGACATTTGCATTTGGTGTGAGGAGTGAATGATTTATAAGAGGGACTGGTATGTAATATAAGAGGTCCTGGCCAGAGTCAACTGAAGGTTGTTGACTCTATCAAATTTTGGGGATGTTGACACCTTCCTGAGTACATAATTCACAGTTGTAAGACATCATTAAAATCTTACATTTTCAGGATTAACACTGAATAGATCTCTGTAATGTTCTTGGTCTTTTCAATAAACAGAGAACTCCAGTGTCTGTCACTCACTTGATGCTGGAGATATAAGAGCCACAAGCCACAGACTAATGGCAGGGATGTGAGCTGAGCAGAGAGAGCATCCCCGTAGGAAGTCTGGTGGGCAGAAAGTGTTGAGCCTTGGGAAGTTGATCTGTGCATTTTAGGCAATAGGGATTTATTTGGGAGTGAAACGGGGTAGCTAGGAGAATTCTTCAGCTTCCAGATATTTACTCTATAATGGATCTTTCTGTATGTGTTAACTTTGACAAATGGTCTCATATAGCTGAGGCGGACTTCTAACTCACTGTGTAACCGAGGATGACTTTGAATTCCTGACACTCCCCCCCCCCACCTTGCCACTACTCTCAGAGTGGCTGGAATCACAAGTGAGTGCCACTATGAGAGATCTTATTGAGAAGTATTTGCCAAGATTATAAATGTGCTTAAAATGACTGTCAAGTTAGAGAATAGTAGATTCGAGACAGTCATTCCTATAACCTGGGATTCTTTCAATCTCCGACTGCACGACAGAACAAGCCAGTGTTTATCTTAGTCCCCTGATATCTTTGTGCTTTAATGTATTTGTTGCATTTGTGATCATGCTCTGGGGGAGGCAGTTTGCAATGGGAAGAGCAGGCCGAGCTGCTTCCTCAGACACGCCTTCTGATGTAAGCAACTATTCCTGAGTTGGGTTGTGTTACATGGCTATTGTTCATAGCCCAGCCTGCGAGTTGAAGGATGAATGGAAGAATGAATGAAGCTGGTCCTCCTCATTGACTGTGCAGTGCAGTGGGAACCAGTCAGTGAGCTAGGCCTTTTCATGCCCACGGACTCATTTCACGCCATAATAATGTTACGAATTAAATATCATGGGTTCCTTTTACACGTTGAAAAACATCCTCTGCAAAATGAAGTGATTTTTTTCAGAGAGCCATGCCAGCCTGAGTGAGAACAGCCTGTGTAATTAAGTCGTCCACCTGCAGCCACGTTTGTTCCAGTGCCCTGCTTGGTGATGCCCTGGCACAGAGTGCTGGCAGGAATAAACATTTCTGTTTCTCCCACCAGGGTAGCAGTGGATCACCTGGAGCCCCAGGAGACCCTGGCCGCCCAGGAGCCCCAGTGAGTGCTCATCCCCAGCTTCCTGATGGTGTTGGGGCAAGAAGGGTCTAATGCCGCAGGTTGTTTGTTCTCTATCCCTGAAAACACTGGAGAGTCAATCCTTATTTTAATGGTACAAATAGTCCCGAAGCCAGAGAATCAGAGTATTTAGCTCTTGAAAAATTTACCATACATTTAACTACCCCGCGCAATCTCTGTTGTCTAAACCATGGATACCTCCAAATAGTCAATGTCAAAATTGTGTAGTAAGATTCACAGTGAGTATCTAATGACTGAAACACAGGGCAGGGTCACACCAGGCAACCTTGATCATGTCAGGTGACAAGGTGGTATGCAGCCTGGGAACAGAGAGGGGAATCATGGGTACAGAGCAAGGAAGTTCAGTGGTAGGTAGTGGAAAGAGTATGGCGGGTAGGCTCCTGAGCACTGAGTAGATTCTGGTTTTGAGGTTCATGCCAGGTCAATGGGGAGACACAATAGAGCAGATGGTTCTTTATGGGTTCTAGGTTTCAGTACGTTCAAGTCTGGGTATGAATTTCCTTCCTGCCAAGCCTGCTTATATGTTTTATTTGCTTATATTGAGATCTATTCGGGAGCCACTTGGAAGTATAAAAGGTCATTTAAAAATTGGCCAGGACAGTGTGTTAGACAATGCTTTCCATATAATTGCTAGAACTGTAGAAACCAGGGTGACCAGAAACCCACAAAATCCCAGGACGACTAGTCACAGCAGGTAGTCACAACAACAGTGAGTATCTATCATTCTGACAATTCCAGTCATCTTCGTCAGGAGCTTCAATGTAGGATCTGTCAGTCCTACTGAGACACAGTAGATAGGGTAGGGGTGGATCCTGAGGGGCGGACCCACGCAGGGGAGGAGCTAGCCCCAGAGGAGCTGACCCACTTGTCGGCAATTCATGAAAAACAAAAGCATTGGTCTGCGAAGGTTGCAACCATTACACCTTGAGCCTAGGGAGCATCACAGGAAGCTGTGCCCACTTCAGAGAGGCTGCACACATCTAGATCTAGGTGTTGCTTCTAAGACTCCATTCCATAAGATGACACCACTTGAATGGAAAGGCCAGCCTCTGTCTGTGGAGATTTCCCCTCATCTCATCTTCCTTCCCCGACCCTCTTTGATAATGACCAAGTTTCACAGACCCCATATCTCTTACTGACCCATCCTCTCTCCAATGCAGGGAAGGGGTAGGGGATGTCAGGGCTCCACAGATTGGGAGTATCATCAAGTTTCTATATCTGATGGACTCTTATTTGACCTTGAATAATTAATTCCCTGTCTTTCCTTCACAGGGACAGAAGGGAAACAAAGGAGAAAATGGCAGCCCAGGACTTCCGGGTTTTCTAGGTCCCCGTGGGCCTCCGGTAAGCAGAGAACCTAATGGGGGCCAAGGTGCCTGGATCTAGATGTGACCTGGAGTTTCAGTACTGTCCCTGCCAACTCATGTCTTCAGGGCCATTATTTTTTCATGTCATGATGAGATATTGTGGAGTCAGAGTGCCTCATGATTTAGGAGACAGTTGAGGGCTCATAATTGACATTTCCATGGGATCCACCGCTCTAATTATGAGACCTTAGGAAAGTGGTGTAAAAATCTCATTATGTGGCTATCACCTTAATCTAATGGTGTGACAGAATCACTCATTAAATGCTATAGTCCACATAAAGGATTGTGGCAATGTCCAGCCCATTGCAGTGATCAATAAGTGCAGGTGGTTGTGATGGTATTTGTTGGTGCTTGTGGTGGATAGTGCTGGCAGTGATGGCCCTGGAACTTGAAGGATGCCTGTAATGACTGTGAAGATGAACAAGTTTGGGTCACAGGGTCAGAACGTATCGGTGATTGATTCAAGGCCACAGTATATACATTTGTACCTATCTGGAGTTTTAGTCTGGGTCCCCTGACTTGGCCTTGTAGTGTATATTGAAGCTGTTAAAGGGATAGTGAGTACTCATTCATAGCCACACTGAAGTCATTGGAGTATGCTGCAGACTCTGGCCTGCACTGATGGATGGATAAAGGTTGTATGTGACACTTCACGATGGAAATGCTCCCATGGTCCTGCATATACCCTCCAGTTTGATTTTGCCCTTTCCATGTGACCACAGGGCCAGCTGGTTCCATCCTTTCCTCGTGGTAACCTGTCTACTGTTTTCCACTTCTGTTCCAAGATGTGTATGGATGGTTTCTCTAGTCACATGCATTTGCTCAATTGTTCTCTTTTCCAGTCCTGGTTTATAATTTGGCTGCCACTCAGCAGCCAATTACATACTTTCTGCAAAAATGACTCCTTAATCATAAAAACAGATGAATTATCCAGCTTTGGTACATGCTAGTCACTGTGCTTTACATATCTCAATGAAAATAAGTATCACTGTAACCTATGACATAGATGACGTGACTCCTCTTACTTAGTAGATGAGTAAACTGAAGCATAGTGAACTTAAGAGATTAGCAAGGAGGTCATCTAAGGTCAGAAAAACCAATCAATAGAAGAATCAATTTAAAGTCAGAACCTACCATCTTATTTAACACACTGTCCCCTGTTGATAAGAGTGACCTCCCTCACACTAGACAACTGGTAAAATTATCTTCTTAAAGACATGCTTAGTACAGATACATCTACCCCATTGACAAAGAGCCCAGAAGCAGAGTTTGTTCACAGGCTAGGGCAATTCTCTACCGTCTCCTGCATAAACTGACCAGAAGGTCGCATGTGGGATGGCCTTGTCAGGTAGACTATTTGGACCACTGATTGCTGTCTTTTCTGGAACATGATGTATGAAATGTCTGTCATGAAGACTGACATGTACTGGGCTGATGCTGCCGAGCCCCCCTGACCTCATGTTGTTTTTTTCACAGGGAGAAGCAGGAGAGATAGGAGCTCCAGGCAAGGAGGCAAGTATTCCCCAACCCTGCCCTTTCCACTTGGTAGCCCTTTCCTGTGGAAGCCACAGATAGGTGATAAGGCTGAGAAGTAATTCCCGAGCTTATCAAAACCCCTCAAAAGCTTCAGTGTGCTTCTGGGACTCGGGAGCTTACATTTTAACTTCACAAAATCTCAGGTTATACAGCCACCAGGGACACCAGGTAGATGACTCTATCTCCTTAGCCACTCTCCTTCAGTATCATTGTCAACAAATCCTTCCATCTTTGTCTTTGTGATGCTTCTCAATTCTGTCCGTGGAGCCTGTCCAATCCTGGGTCCTTTTCTACAAGGACCACTGCTGTCGTCTTGCTAGTGGTTTCCTTTGTCCAACCATGACCTTCCACAACAGCTGGAGATCTGTGGGACAATGACATTTCATGCCACTCTACAGCTTAAATGGCAGTTGTGATCTCCCCTTGCAGTGCAAATGGCCCCTGAGGTGCCCTGGTCCTTCTCATTTTTCTTCCTCCTATCAGCTCCATTCACTCTGGTCTGTTCCTGAAATACTAAATTAGTTTTCAGCCCCCCCTCTTTTTTTCCAAAATACCTTCATCTACTAACCCTTTTCCTTCTCCCGTGGACTTCTGTGGATTTCTGTAGACTTCTGTGGACCACCAGAGAGAAGCACTTGTTGACCTGCTCTACTGGTCACCTGCTCTGTTCTGTCCCAGACAAGACACTAAAAGTGTTCCACGATGAAGGAGTAGATGAACAGGAGTAGAGAAAAGACTTTCAGGGAAATTGCTCATGTTTATATCAAAGCCCGCACTCTTGCCCTGAAAGAGAACACCTTTGTCACTGTGTGCCTTTGGACCATTGTTAGAAGTGATTGCCTTCTCTGAGGCTGGATCAGATGTTCCAAATCTGAGTACCCTGTGCTTTAGGCCCAGACATAGCTTGTCACTCACTAGACCTGCTCCTCAATTGTTGACTAGTCCTTGCTCTTGCTTACTGGGTTGAGTTGGAGGTAATAATACCCCAGCTCCCATTTCTCAGGGTTGCCTCAACTCTGTGAGCTTTCAGTTGGGCTGCTGCATATGTGAGTTCTCTCTACCTTTTCATCGCCCCCCAGAATAAAATTTGGGCTAACCAGGCCTAGCAAATTTTCCTTTAAACTGACCCACATTCTCTTACAAATGTGACTTCTTCCCTCTTGGTGGGCTATACACAAAGGGCCCTTTTTAAAGCACAGATTTATTTGACTTTTAATTATATGTTACCTGTATGTGTGTGTTTGGGTAGATATGTGCAGGTGAGTACCCTTGGAGGCCAGAAGAAGATATCAGATTCCCCAGAGCTGGAGTGACAAGTTACTGTGAGCCCTCTGAAAGGATGCTTGGAACTGAGCTCAATTTTCTGCAAAAGCAGTACATGCCCTTAACTTCTAAGCCATCTCTCCAGATCATGTATGCATTCTGAATGTATACTGTGTCTATCATCTATGACAGGCTAGGCTGTACTGATTGTTGCAGTGGCAAACCTTGGGGTTGGCATGTTTTGAATACCTGCAAGTGCAGGGTGTGTAGCACGAATCCTAGTTGGTTTTAATAAAAACCCAGAGCCAGATATTGGGGTAAATGCTGAAAGATCAGTCACTAGAGAGACTTCTTACCTCTACCGAATCCTCAGGCTGAAGGGAGGGCAAGATCCTCTTTCTACAAATCCCCAGACTGAATGGACTGAGATCCTGTCTCCACCTCCCTTATAATTCTGTCTCCACCTCCCTAGTGCTGGGATTAAAGGTGTGAGCCACCACCACCATGTGGCTCTGTTTCCCTTTTAGACAGATTCAATCTTATATAACCCAGGGTGGCCTTGAACTCCTGATCTTCCTGCTTCCTCCTCCCAAGTGTGTGCCACCACTGCCTGGCTTCTAGTGGCTAGCTCTGCCCTCTGTTCTTCAGTCAAGCTTTACTTGTTAGAGCACAAACAAAATATCACCACAAGGGTAGGATTTGGGATAGGAATATGATGCCCTCGTTTAGTAAATAAACATAGGCCCTGCTTGCCAAAGTTTTGCTGTGTATGGATGAGCAAAGAAGCATGTCTGTGTTCCCACATCTGGGAAGAAGAAAGCTAGGTGGCAGCTGGAAGGAAGGTGACTTCTGTCTGAGGGTAGATACTGGTCAGAGACCACAGCCAAAGCTTCTCAGAGGGGATGTCAAGAGTCTGGAGGAGAGGAAAAGGAAGGAGGGATGGAAGGAAAGAAAGTAGGGTGGAAGTGTGGGAGAAAGAAAAAGAAGGAAGAAGGGAGGGAGAGAGGGAGGGAAGGAAGGGAGGGAGGGAGAGAGGGAGGGAAGGAAATGATATTCCATGTGGAGAGGATGGCAGTAGCGTAGGTGGGAAGGCAATCAGTGTCTCAGCAGTAGCAAGTGTGGGGATATGTCTTTTATTCCTCATGTGACTGTCCCCATACCCCGAGAGGGCTGTGAGAACATAGCATTAGGCTGATTCTTTTTCATATGTTGGGTGAGAAGAGAGAGCTTTCTGGGTAGGAAGTCTGAGGCCAGGCCAGGTCATCTAGGATGAAGGGCCCAGGAGCAAATGGTAGGCAGAGGCTGTGAAACTGCAGACCAGCAGGCTCTCTGCTTTGGGAACCTAAGGTTACTATGTTTGGCTGCAGAGGAGTGAGCCAGGACATCAGAGGTGATGTTAGCTCATCCAAAGGCCAGTGTGTGGAAGGCCCCAGGGGTGTTCCGAGGCGAGTTGGGTTTTTCTCTAGAGAAGTAGAAGAAGGCATCAAAGAAGCCACACCATTGGCTCATGTTGGCCCAGATCAAGAATGGACAGGGTCAGGAGTAGTGAAATGAAGAGGAAGAGGCTTGATTGCCTATCTAGACTGACCTGGTAGGAGTTTGGGGGAGGGAGGCGGGCTTTTTTTCTACAATCTCCCTTTCCCCCAACAAGTGCTGTGTAGAAAAACCAAGAAAGGCAAAGATGGAGGCAGAGATGGCCGTGGTGAAGTGACTCCTGTCCTGTTATCCCATTGCAGGGTGCTCCTGGGAAGCCTGGAGAGCCGGGATCCAAAGGAGAGAGGGTAAGTGGGGGATGTGCAGCCATCTGAGCATACTCAAGGTGACCTTCCTCCAGTCGCAAGGCCGGAATTTATTCAGGACAGTTAATAAGCAGCGCAGCTGAACTGCCGTCCCCTGCAGTGACTTTCCATGAAACAGCTCAAGCCCTTCAAACAGTAGGGCTCTTTTCTCCCAATAGTACCATAGTCAGTTTTCTCTCTTGTTTCTTTTTGGTTGTTATTTTGAGGAATAAAATCATGACCGTAATTATCAATGCAAGGCAAGTGTTGGGAGACTCTGACAGATTCCATGCTCACCATGTGTGAAGGCGCATGCAGGATGTGCCTGGCTCCCTAAGTGCCAATTTGCTGTGAGCCAGATTTGTCACTGGAGGTGACAAGGGAACAGATTTTCCCATAATGAGTCGCCTTGGCGCCACACTCTGAAAGCCTTTCTTTACATTTCATTTCTCCAAAAACCAACAGGGGAGAGTCATTTTTTTTTCCCTTGCGGAAGTGCTAGGGTGGGGGCAGGGAGCATGCTCATGCTCATGCTCACACTCACGGGCTCTTGCTCCATTCAGGGCTCTGCATGGCTGGTTTGCCCACAGTCCTGTGTCTGGTCAGCTGTCAGGATGTTGTACTACATGGACAGTACCCGACTCTCCCCTCCCTCCCCCGCCCACCCATGCTTGTTTTCCGTGGTCCTGCAAAGAATTTATCTCAGCTTTCTTCACAAGTTGGATGGGTAGTGAGCTGGCAGGCTTTTTCCTGCAATTTGGGAAGAGAAAAATGGAAGTGGTCTCTGGCACTCTTTCCTTCCCTGCCTGTCTCTCCTTCTGATGACTTTGTTGCCCCTGTCCTGTGGCTGTTTGATCTTGAATATTGGAACCTTGTACTTGCCTGCCACTGAAATGATTTTCTCCTGAGAGTGCCACATCAGGGTCTTGAGAGCGATTGCCAAGGAGTTTGGGCCTGAGTCCTGGCTCAGAGCCAGGGCGTTCAGCCCACAGACAGGAAGCTGTTCTTCATACACAATCAATAGGTAGGGAGCTTGTCTGTCCTCTGGTACGTGATTCCATGGAACCTTGCCACCAAGCCCTTAGATTCCTTATTCCTTCATCCTGGGAATGTTTAAAATGGGGAATCAGGGCCTGGAGAGATGGCTCAGCAGTTAAGAGCACTGGCTGCTCTTCCAGAGGGCCTGAGTTCAATTCCCAGCAACCATGTGGCAGCTCACAATTGTCTGTAACTCCAGCTCCAGGGGATTCGGTACCCTGATAACCCTCACACAGACATGCATACAGACAAAACACCACGGCACATAAAATACAAATAAATAATAAATAATCGTTAAATAAATAAATAAAATAGGGGATCAGATCATTTCATAGCAAAGTGATAGAGATAGGGGGGTTGTTAAATAGAAAGGCTGTGCCACATGTGTGATGGTACCCGGCCTCCAGGTAACTCAGGACCAGGGTGTTCTAGACCTCTGAGTCCAAGATCATCCAATGGATTTCAAGACCCCATGAAGTCCATCAGACCTGGAAAACTGGAGCAACTCCCTTGGGTTTGCCTTAAATTATAATGCAAAAAGTCATTGATACTTGGATTATTGTCGAAAAATTGAAAGCCATGCAGGGGCCTGGTTAAAAAACAGAAATTACAAGAGTGAACGTAGTGGAACTCAGGTATCCCTCCCACCTCACCTCAAAGCTCCCCTTCCTGTAATGTTGTCTTTCATTCTGGGGTCTGTGTACACAGAGGAGGGTGTTCCAAACATGCATGTGCCTTCACCTTTGTCCTCCCTGACTCCAGCACATCACACCTTCTCCATACCATGTTCCTGCCATTGCTTGTTTTAGCATGCACAATAATGGCATTTCAGAACTGTGAGCATGCTCTAATACTTCTCAGAGGCTCCTGTCCTGCCCGTGGTAACACCACATGTGTGGTTCCATCTTGATCCTCCTTGTTTCTCCTGCCCCTCCCTTTCTGTGATGTATCACAGTAGTTATGGCTTAATAGTAGTGATGGTCTTAATAAGACTACTGTGTGTTCAGACCTAACTAGCCACAGAAGCTTGCTGTCTAGACACAAAGTAGTACATAAGAGCAACGACTAGGCTGTCTGCCCTGAGGTTGCTGTGCCCCAAATCACTGACCCAGAACTTTAGGATTTGATTTACTTATCGGGGGGAAAAAGGGCCAGGGAGTACACCATAGAGTGAGCCTGCCAATCCTTCATGGACTTGCTGGAGCTGAAGGGAGGCTGGCAAAGAGAGGCTTCTGAGCTAATAGACTGTCTCTCCTATTGACAGAGGCCAAACCCACTCTAGGAGTGTAGTGACAGCTTGGCCTCAGTTTCCACAGCTTGGCAGCTTTCTCCAGGGATGTACATTTGTGGTTTGGCCTGGGACTGGGAAATTATTTGTGTGTGTGTGTGTGTGTGTGTATGTGTTATGTGTGTATGTGTATGCACATGTGCTGTGGTAATGTCGATTGAATGTAGGGCCTTGTGCATGCTAAGGAAGTACTTTATAACTGAGCTATATCCCTTGACATTGTAGTTTGTGACTTAATAGTCTCACTTAAGTTGTCCAGGCTGGCTTTGAACAAACTGCAGGCTGGCTCGTCTTAAGCTGCAATCCTTCCACCTTGGCCTCCTAAGTAGTTATAATGACAGGTCTATGTCACTAAGTCCATTGAAAATTCTTCCTTTTTAAAGATTGTGTAAAATGACAGCTGTGTTTCTATCCTTTTCCTTGTTACTTGTGTGTGTGTGTATGTATGTGTGTATGTGTGTGTTGTATGGTGTATATATATATATATATAAATATATATATATACATACATATATGGTATATGGCATATGTGGTATGTGGGTGAATGCATCTGTGAATGTGTACATGTGTATGTTCAGGCCAGGGGTTGGCATTGGCTGTCTCTCTGAATCACTATCCATTGTTTGAGATTATAGGTTTTCTCATTGAATCCAGATATTACCAAATTGTTAGGCTAGCTTCCTAGTCAGCCCCAGGGTTCTGCCTGTCTATGGCCCCAGATGTAAGCAGTCACACTTGGTTTTTGTGTGGGTACTTGAAATCCAAATTCAGATTCTTCCACTTATGAGGCAGACTATGGAGTTGAGTTATCTCTTCAGTCCCCTCCCTGTCATCCTTACAATTATCCTTACAATTATGGAGCCTTCCTCAATGTTTTATGCCCACAAAGAAAATTTGTGGATGTTTTTATTCTTCTCCAACTTTTGCATACTGTGGACACTGTTCTACAGTTTGAACTTTTCATATAATAATGATACCTGGTGGCCGGTCCACATAGTCCCTGATGCGCAGCCCCAGTGCTGACAACTGTAGTGTGTTCTGTGGTATGAGAATGCCAGTATGCCTTGCTGCTCCTATGGTGTCAGCCTGGTTAGTGGCTTATTTGGTATGGGTGTGAAAATAAAAGTTCTCCTGACTTGCACACATACTGTGTAAGGTAGGATTCTATTTCTGGGCTCCCTTGTCCTGTTTTGTACAATCAGGACTATGGGTGGGATAATTCTGGGCCTTTCTTATTGGAGTTATCCATGACTCATTTCAGTACTGAGACCTCCCCTGACCCCACAAGACCCATCTCTCCCTGCCAGGGCCCCAGCAGGAAGATGATGGTACCTTGGACTCCAGCTTGCATATCCAGGCCAGTTTCCAGCCCATACCCATTTGCTGATATTCTTCTCTCCTATTTAGGGAGACCCTGGGACCAAAGGTGACAAAGGATTACCAGGCGGGAAGGGCCAGCCTGGAGACCCTGGAATCCCAGGCCACAAGGGTCATACTGGCCTGATGGGTCCCCAAGGACAACCAGGGGAAAGTGGCCCCCCTGGGCCTCCAGGGCCACCTGGCCAGCCAGGATTTCCAGGACTTCGGGTAAGGATGATGATAACATTTCAGACACAGATTCCATGAGAATGGAGGGAAAGCGGAGTCTGTGACCTTCAGGGTATACGGCATGTGGGTACCAGGCTTCTGGGGACTGGCTATATAGCAGGGGGCAGGGTACTCCCTCTCTCTGAGCCTATCCTATTGAGAGAATGCTCTTTAAATTTGTTAGGATGCAGTGATGTGATTCACGTAACTCAAGGGGTGCTCAGAAAGAGAGTGTCTTCTCTGTTGTGCCCTCCACCCCAGGGATGATGAATTGCAAGGCTTCATTCATTTCATAGGCTGTAAATCCCTTTGGTCTTGGCACCCTGTGCAGAGGTAATTGAGAAGATGGGATCTCAGTGGTCCAACCTGCATGGTGGTTCACCATCCATTCGTGGCAGGCCTTGACTTTCTTCTCGGTTCTGTCCTTGGCACTGAATGTCAGCTGAGAGCCTGGTTACTGTCTTCTCACATAGGTCATTCTAGTGGCAGAACTCTTGTTTTAGCCTCTCTTGGATCACAGACACAGGCTGCCAGCTAGATAACAAGAGCTGAACTCTTGATGGGTTTTTTTTGTTCAGTCCCTGTGACTGCCTCTTCTCAGCACCAAACTTAGTCATCTGGAAAATTATATGTTCCCTAAGCACACAGATGTGGTCACTTTCTGTTCCTGCCAGCGCTGACACTCCATGGTTTCATTTGCTTCTGGTTGTGGTGACTCTTAAGAATCTTAGTGCCTATAGCCTACCCTCTTGGATAAATCCAGGGGAAATCAAAAGGGCTCAGTTGGCATCCAAAACCCCCATGAAGCCTTGCCAAGCTCTGTGTGTCCTGTGCTGTGTGGGAGCAATGAACCATATGAGGTTTTTACATCTGAGGTTTCTGGCCATATAAGAGGAAGAGAGCAAGGGAATGGAATCTATTCCATGCAAGTTGTTGGGCTGATAGAAGCACAGGGGGCCCCACTCTTGAGGGGAGCGCTACCCTACAGGAGTCACACAGGAAAGGGTGAATCCTGATAGGGCATAGACAATCCTTTCTTAGACCCTTCTGAGAACTGTTGTCAGAATGTGAGCATTCAGCCTTTCCTGTAGATAAATTCCTCAGCTTCCATGGGTCACTCATTCATACGTGGCCAGTATAGACTTGAACAGGACAGATCTGGCCCTGGGGAGTATAGGGACAAGATACCAATCAGGAGAGTTAAACATAAGCTTGTGTAGCAGGCTGCCTATAAGCTATGTTATGGAGGTGAGCAAGCTTTTGAGGACATGCTGTCTAGACCCAATGTGGGGCTGGTTTTATGAACATAATGGTTTGTACTAGGAGGAAATAACCTGAAGAATAAATAAAGGTCTTGAGGGAAAGACATTATAGATCTGAGAGCTGAAGGTCTAAGCTGCTTTGCTGATGGTATGGCATGGTCTGAATGGCAGACAGGAAAGGAATGGGCTGCAGATGTGGAATGGGGTAGACAGAGGGTATGATTTGCCCATTTCTGTGCTCCTCACCAGCTTCTTGATTTGGGGGGGGGTGACACTGGGGTCTTTGATGAGAGTTACTGGGAAGACAAGTAACTCTGCTTCTCCCCTGTCTTAGTGTTTTATTGCTATGAATAAACACCATGACCAGGGCAACTCTTATGAAGGAAAACATTTAATCTGGGGTGGCGTATAGTTCAGAGGTTTAATCCATTAACATCATGGCAGGAAGCATGGTGGCCCAGAGGCAGATAGGGTGCTGGAGAGGTAGCTGAGAGTTGTACATCTGGATCATCAGGCAGCAGGTAGGGTAAGTGAGCCACTGGGCCTGGCTTGAGCTTCAGAGACCTCAAAGCCTCTCCACCTCCCCCCAGTGACACATTGCTTCCAACAAGGCCACGCTGACTCCAAGGCCACACCTACTAAAAATAGTGCCATGTCCTATGGGCCTAATGGGGGCCATTTTCATTCAACTACCACACCTCCATCCTAGGGTGAGTCTCCATCCATTGACACCCTGCGGCGCCTCATTCAGGAAGAGCTTGGGAAGCAGCTAGAAGGTAAGTAGCTGGACTTCATTGCAGCTTCCAGGGTAAGATCTCCAGGGAGCAACTGCTGCTTTCATTATTAAGTACCAGGACAGCACCCTGGGAGCAGGCTAATGTGGAGCCACAGGCTGGCAAGGTTCCTTGAAGGCCCAGCCTTACTTAAACTGAGGCCTCACTCTCCAGAGACTCCCTCAAATGGGGCTGTAGCTTCTGCCTTGTCACCTCTAGTGAAGGTGACTCCTAGTGAACGATGACAGCACGGATCACCATCTGCTGTGACTCCCCCTTGCCCCTCGGGAGTCTAGCTGGACATGAATGGGCTATGGATGAGGGAGGTGAGGGAAGGCAGCAGGAGGTAGGCTGGAGAGAGTGTAAGCCCCACTGGGCAGGGCAGATCTGAGGAGTGACCCAGAGTTCCAAGTTCTACCTCTTGAGTGTTAGAGCTGTTAGTAATGGAATGGCCTCTGCTCTAGTGCAGTGCCAGCCCCTGGTTTTAAATGGATCTGGGAACATCTGCTGGGACGAGTCCCTTTTTCCGAACAGCCTTTGAGGAAGAAACATCGACTTCCACTAACATTAAGAAAATCAAGACCCTGAAAAGTTCAGCAAATGACCAAGGTCACTGAGGTGGACTCCGTAGAGCCCTGGCCCCTTGTGAAGGTGCAGTGGCAGAGGGAGTCACTGAGGCTGTGAGAAGTTCCACCTCTTCCTTACTCTTGCCTATAACATGAATCTTAAAAGGTCTTATAATAAAAAATCTGGAGCCAGATATTAGGGTGAACGATGAAAGATCAGAGAAACAGAACAAGCCACAGCCAACCTCACCTCGCCAACTCCTCAGCTGATCTTGTTTCCTCAGACTGAAAGCCTCTGAGTCCTCACTCGAATGGATCTCAGCTGAAGTGCTGCTAAAAAGCTTCTAGTTCCTGGGTCCTCATGCCTTATATACCTTTCTGCTTCCTGCCATCACTTCCCTGGGATTAAAGGCATGTGTCCTTCCCAGGCAAAGACTTGAGATCTCAAGTGCTGGGATTAAAGGTGTGCCATCATGCCTGGCTCTGTTCCCAGTGTGGCTTTGAACTCGCAGAGATCCAGAGGGATCTCTGCCTCTCCAGTGATAGGATTAAGGGTGTGTGCCACCACGTCCAACCTCAATGTCCAATTTTGTGGCTGGCTGTGTTCTCTGATCCCCAGATAAGTTTTATTGGGGTACACAAATAAAATATCACCACACTAACCAACCAAAATGCCAGTCCTTATCCTAGTCACTCCACACACTGGACTGGCATTTGGATCCAGTTCTCTCTGACTATATAAACCTCGGTGGTTCTTGTCAACTGCTAGGTGAGCACTGGATCCCTTGTCCATCAGGAAAATGAGCCCATCTAGTTGGAGCTCTAGGTTTTAAATTAATTCTGTATTGCTTGTATCACAGATGTATAAGCATCATTATTAACAGCTCATTCATCCCTTCAGTTGTAGATGAGGGACCTGATAGCCAAAAGATAAAAGTCAATAAATAGCTTTGTGTAAGCCGCTTAAACAGTTTCTCCAACTTACAGGCTCCGTGACTGTTATTACTGCTGCTGTCATCACAAACACCAATAATGTGGCTATCTCCAGAGCCAATGCTACTGTATTGTTAATACTGCTGTTAATTATCACTATTACTGCGGATGCTGCAGTGGTCCCACAGAACTGTGTGTACAGGAGCTGTCCCTTGTCCTGTTGGTTTTGTTGCTCATTTCTAGCTTGTAGTGAGCTGCCACTCTGTCCCTCATCCTCGATCCATTATTCATAAACATCTCTGATTTTCCTATTCCATAGCCAAACTTGCCTACCTCGTGGCCCAGATGCCTCCCGCACACATGAAGTCCTCTCAAGGCAGACCTGGGCCCCCAGGACCCCCTGGAAAAGATGGGCTTCCGGGCAGGACAGGCCCCATAGGTGAGCCAGGCCGGCCTGGCCAAGGGGGTCTGGAAGGACCCTCTGGACCTATGGGCCCCAAAGGTGAGTGGACAGCATTTCAGAAACCGGGGGCTGAGTGGGGTCTAGGTATGGGGTGCATACCCGGCAGAGCCTGCATTATTTATCTTGTTTTCCTTCCCGTCAGCTCAGCGACACTAAATTTTGGCATCGTGTAATTTTTTTCATACATTCAAGATTTTCATACTTGACAGTTTTGAGAAATTATGCCAGGAAGATTAAACCTGTTTTCTCTTACTTTCTCTCCATCTCCCTTGCTCAAGTTACAGGGGTGGTGCAAATATTTTCTTCTTCCCCCACCCAGTGGGAACTGTGACTGAGTGATATGACATTTAATCTCCAGGCAATGGATATTAAATGTCAGCTTTAAAATCCAACCAAATGACTTTGAGCTACAGCTAAAATGGGCACTAACTGTCTGGCTGTCTGGCTAACCTATCTGAACAATGGACCTCTGGACAATAGGAGGCTCTCCCTCAAGTGGGGGAGCCCGTCCCAGGTTGCCCAGTGGCAAGAAGGTCAGAATGCTTTCCTTGCAGGTGAGCAGATCGGAAGAGCAGGGAGGAAGGACTAGGCTCCAAACTTCCCAGCCTGGGGTCCACTCCCTTCTGGTGGATGGAGTTATGGGTTCATTTTGGTGACCTTAGGCTAGGGAAATGGATGAACCTACCATCTTCTCTTTTAATTGCTCATATCCTTATGATTATTTAGCCATCCATCCCCTGTGGTATTTCTTCCATTTAAAGGGTTTTTGTTAAATTTGTGTGCTCTTGACTATTGCATAAAATAACTGTCTATAGGAAGCATAATTTATAGACTACATTGGTTTGTGACAGAATATTGACAAATGTAACAGTTAAAACAGTGGAAACGAGGAGCTGGAGACATGGCTCAGTGGTTAAGAGCTTTTGCTGCTCTTGGAGAGGACATAGGTTCAGTTCCCAATACCAACATAGCTGCTCACAACTGAAGTTCTGGGGTATCCAGTGCTGTCCTCTGCCCTTCTTGGGTACTAGGCACACATGTGGTACATGTTGACTTCATGTGTTTATCAACCCAGTTCCTTCTTCATGAAGGTTTGGATGAAAAGCTTTGAGTACACTGGCAAGGACACCAATGATGAGGGCACACATGCAGACTGATGTGTGTGTGAGTGAGTGAGGACACCAATGATGAGAACATACATGCAGACTGATGTGTGTGTGAGTGAGTGAGGACACCAATGATGAGGGCACACATAAAAACTGATTGATATGTGTGTGAGTGAGCTGTGGGTATGTGAACTTAGTTGCTTGTGGTTTAGTGAATGTGTAGGTATAGATCTGTGTACTTTGTATTTACTTCTGGTTGTGCAAATGTGTAAATATGTATGTAGCTGGATAGATAGGTGCTTGAGTAAATGTGTATGTATAGAGAAGTGTATCTGAGGATGTGTTCAGGAGAAAGTATCTGCTTCCTTTAGTGTTTGCATGTACATATTTTGAGTCTGAAAAATATG